ACTTTTATATTTATAATTTTGACAATTACTTTTCATAATTATTTTAATGCTTTTTCCAACAATTGTATAAAATTTTTCTATTCAATAAATTTATCTTTCTTTTTTTTTTGTTTTCTCTCTAGAATCTTTTCTAATTTTGGTCTCTTTCTCTTAAGTCAGATTACAACAAAACGAAAGTTGGCGCCACGGAATCGTCTAGGCAATATATTACCACAGGAACATATAACTTTGAGCTTTTAGTCATTCTTCGAGTAGGACTTTACGCACTCTCTATATAGTCCTTTTAAGATCCACCCTCTTCTGATTCCTACTAATTTCCTTTATTCCTATATTTTCCTATCCCCGCGTGTGTATGCCATCAAACTAATCAAGGAAAATCATTCACTAATCTTCAAGTTATTATTATCCCCACAAATTATACAATGCGCTTAATCCATTTTGAATCTTTACACAAATTACCCCCAAAAAAAGTAAATTAATCCAAGAATACATATTTTCTAGTATTTTTTTTTTTTAATTAAAAATTTTATTTAATTCAACTTTCAGGGTGTGTACTAAAAATCTGAATTACAATTCCAGGACTTTTCCAGGACAAATTTCTTATTTTTCCAGGACATTAAATTGGATGACTTTAAGGAATAAAATAATTTTAGTTTAACTATTGTTTTCAGAAATTATTAAAAAATTAATTAATTACTTAAGTAAATTTTCATTTTTTACTTATTTAATGAATTTTTTTTAACTTGATTGACAAAATTAGAAATTTTTGAAATTTTAAAAGCAAAATATAAAAAATTCAAGGACAAAAATTAAAATTCCAGGACTTTCAAGGACATTCCAGGACATTTTTTCAAATTCCAGGACATTTCCAGGACTAGTAGACACCCTGAACTTTTAGAAATTAAACTTTTAATTAATAGCCCACTTGGAAAGATTCCCCGGAAAGTGCCCCCTGGAGGTTCTATCAAAATTCCGCCGGAACTTCCAACGTAATTCCGTCGGAATTCCATCGGAGTTCCAAAGAATTTCCGATGTGATTCCGACGCATTTCTAACGGAATTCCGATTAATTTTTTTCAACATTTTTAGAGTTCTAATTCCGTCAGAATTCCGCCGGAACTTCCAACGTAATTCCGTTGGAATCCCATCGGAAATTCTTTGGAACTCCGATGGGATTCCGACGCAATTCTGACGGAATTCGGATTAATTTTTTTCAAAATTTTTAGAGTTCTAATTCCGTCGGAATTCCGCCGGAACTTCCAACGTAATTCCGTTGTAATCCCATTGGAAATTCTTTGGAACTCCGATGGAATTCCGACGGAATTACGTTGGAAGTTCCGGCGGAATTTTGATAGAACCACCAGGGGGCACTTTTCGGGGAATCTTTCCAAGTTGGAAAATAATAAATTTGTAATTAAAAAAATTTTTAATAATTTATTTAGTTCAAAAATTAATTTAATTTTAAAAAAGTGATAGTTTTATATTATTGTTGGACATTTTAAGAAACTTTAAACAAAAGTGAAACCATGAATTTCATTCTTTTTACTTCTTAACCTGATTGGTATCTTTGTAGCAAACGAAGTATATATATATATATAGAAAAATAAAGATCTATATATATAGATCTTTATTTTCTTCTTATTTTTATAGTTACTAAGTAGCAAGATACGAAGAGAGGTAAGTCTGTTTAATGGAGTGAGCCACGATTGGAAACTAGGGAAAAAGCAGGGCAACTCAAACCATAGTCAAACTGCTGAATCACTTTACCTATTATTTTTCGGTGATCGATAGTTTATTTCGAGCGGAAATTGCACTATGTTTTAACGGAATTTAAAAATGAAAAAATAATATTCGCCACTCCATTTCTATAATTAAATTTCAAATTATACACTTCTTTTATATATATATATAATGAAGAAACGAAAGAATAAAAGAAAAAAAAAATACTTCAATCCATTACTAAAAAAAGGGGAATTTTCCGCCTTTTAATATAACGTTATTACACCTTTTATATATATATACAAATATTTAATAGTCAAAAATCAATTTTCAATATTAAATTAAAATGACAAAAAAAAATCATTTAAAAATAAAGAAGATAAAATTAAATTTTCATTAATTAACGAATTGGGGAATTATTTTTTTGTTGCACGACTCTTTAACGGTGAAGCCTATATTCCCTTGGGAATTGCTCGATTCCATATATATATATATATATATATATATATATATATATATATATATATACGTCTCATCTAAAAAGGGTCATTTCACATAAAGTCAATCACGATATATAAGAGATCAAGTATTGCCCGTAAATCACACGTTTTTCACTTTCCCAAGTTCTAATCAAAAAAGAATTCAATCAGGAAAGTAGAATTTTTTTTTAAAGATTAAAATATTAAAAGATACTGTTAAAAAATGAGACTAGATTTTATATATATATATACATATAGTTAACAATGGAAATAAATCCTTCACGGGTAGATTATGGATTTTTACTGCGTATATAAAAGCATTTGTCCCCATATATGGTATATAAGGCAATTTGCATATCTTGTATTAAATGTACGGAAGAAGACTAATGGAAGTCGGAAAATCTGTTTTATAAGTTCACTTTACTCATTTCATGTAACGACTGATTGTAAAACGACCCTAAACTACCTCTCCTAACGTCATATAAATAGTAGTCCTTTATGACCCTTTTCTCGATCCACAAACTCCACTTTTTACCATATGGTATTCTTCCCTGCATCTTTGCGTAGCACAAAAAAAAAATTAATTTTATATTTCACCTTTTATCCTTTATATCAATTCTATTTTTTATACAAAATATTTTTTTATTTTTCGATTTTTTTTTATAAAGTAAAATAATAATAATAATAATAATAATAATAATAATAATAATGCTATTGTTTAAACAAACTTGCAATCCACATTTTCAATTATTAATTTCAATTAAATATTATAAACAAATTTTATAAAATAAGTGTAAAAAAAAATTATTTACAATTAAAAAAAGCCCTATAATGGTAGTATAAAAAAAATCTTATAATAATTAACTCTTGTATCCAAATTGGTCAGGAAATAAAGCATCATGTTTAGATGGCCTTCTCGAGTTAACGCTCATTATTATGCCGATAATTAACCGATGATCTTGAATTATCGTCATTGATCATCACTGTACCAACAATATTTAGCATCATTACTGATAACTTTAATTAATTATTATATATCGATGTTATAATCCTCTTATAAAAATATTCTTAAAAACAATATATTTAAAATTAATATAACTTTCTTGTATATAAAAATTATTATTTTCATTATTTAAAATCAAAAGAAAATATTTCTAATTTTTATTAATTAATTAATCTCATTATTTAAATGAATTCTGTTTTTAAAACAAAATCCAAATAGTCTATTTAATTTATTTTTACCGTTTTCTTTTTTGTTTAAAAAATTTTTTTTTTTTTGATATACTTTTAATTGTTTTTTTTTTTTTATTAATGTTTTAATTATCATTTAGAGAAATTAATTTTATTAACTATTTTATAAAATTGATATCTAAAAAAAATTCTATTAATTCTAATAGATTATATTTGAAAGAATATTTTATATTTATTGTCATATACAATGTTAGAAATAAATTTAGTTTGCCTACGTAAAATCTGTACGTGACATCATCGAATATTTCGTTTTGATCCCAATAATTGCCCCACTTTCATTAGTGAGCAATGCTTTATTAATTAATGTTCAAAGTCATTAACTTAGAACACACGAAATAATATAGCAATAATTTAGAAAACACATTGTAATTACCGATTTTCGAAAATAGATTCTACCATTTATTTTCTAATCCATTCGATTAAAATTATTTTTTCTTCCATTTTAAAAAATATTTCACTCAATTTTTTTTTGTATTTTACTTTTTTTTAAAAAAATATTATTTAATTTTCCTTAAAATTTTTTTGTTATTTAATTTTCTCTATATTTTAATAATTTTTATTTTTATTTTTTTTTTTAGTATTTATTTTTTCTTAATGGTTTCGACAATTTATTAAAAGTTTTTATTTAATTTTCTCTTCAATGAACAATTAAAACCCTTAACGTGAAAAAAATTGAAAAAACTAAATTTGTGCAAACACAGAGAAAAACATTGTTATGAAATCAATGTTTTGCAGAAGGGAGAAAAATTTGATTTTTATCTTTTCACTGATAACTCTATTTATAAAATTGCTATTGTATGGAATTTATATAAAAAAAGAAAGATTTTTCCCATATAAATTTATTTTTATATCTTCTCTATTAATAACAAGAGGTATTTTTCCATTCAAACAAAAAATTTTCAAAAAAATTTGTTTTTAATTCAAGTTAAATTTTTTTTTTCTTTACAATTTAAAACTATTTTTTCAAACAGTAGCAAAAAAAAAAAAGGATTTAATTCATAAAAATACTTACTATAAAATAGTTATAACTTTTGCTGCTTTTAAAAAATTATTATTTTTATCTATATTACTATTATTATTATTATTACTATTATTATTACTATTATTATTACTATTATTATTATTATTATAAATATTATTTTATTACTTATTATTACTTCTGTTATTATTATTATTATTATGACTCATAGTTTAGAACTATAATTTCTGCTTTAAAATTATTTTTTAATTTTATTATTATTCCTAACTTTAAAACAAATTCAATTTCCTCTCATATTATTGAAAGAAACATTCACTACAATTTTTTGACAATAACTGCCAATCCTCTATTGATAAATAAAAAAAAATTTTTAATTTTGAAAAAGAAAAATTTGCCTGAGAACACTAAAAAAAAACTTGCGCATTATTGCAAAATTTTCAAATTAGAAAATTTAGAATAAAAAAAAAACAATAAAAAATGCAAACAGAGGGAGAAATTTAAGAAAAATAAAATCTTTTTTTCTAAACAAAAGAAGAACAAGAAGAAGAAGAAGAAGAAATATTGTAATCACACCTCGGATCGAGAACGGCGCCGGCGGGAGTTTCGCGGTTTGAGAGAGAACTGTCGCCACCGCGTGGCCCGAAAAGCTCGGAATTTCGAGGCGCTTGCGCGTAAAGCTCCTTTTCTCACGGCAGCAAGAGGTGCTTTTCATATCTTTCCCTCTCTCCCTCCCCTTTTTTTTCTTCCAACCCTCAAAACTTTCCTCCTTCTCCCTCTTCGCTAGCCACAAGTTTCACGTTGTATTTTTCATCCCCACTTATTAAAAATAATAATAATAATAAAATGAATCACTGCGTTTTGTGTTCGCATCCTTCATAATATTTCACGTGCAAGTTTTAATTGACGTAAATCTTGACTTTTCCCGCGCAACAACAAATATGTAACAAACGTTACGCAAAATTTGTTACTCATCTCCCTCCCCCCTACCTTCTATTCATTTACGTTTATTATTTATTGTTTTGTTTCTTTTATATTATTTTACACTTTTGCTTTCAATTAAATTAATATCACCTGACTAATTTCTTCTTCCGTAGGCCATCGGAAAGAATTAATAATAGCATCAATCGTTTTTCAAGGTCAAAGTTTATCGTTCATCGTGCATTATAAAAATCCCTGATGTTATATACAAAAGCCGGCTTCACTGCTTTCACTCAAACTAACACTCTGGGTTTTTTTTTTTTTTTTTTTTTTTATGTAACAAGGCTGACACAAGAGTACATGTGTGATGGGGAAAAAAAAGTGATTGTGAATTATTGGATTTTACTTTGAATAAAACACAGTGCTTCAATAAATTCCATTGGAGCATATTTGAAAAAAATCACTACAAGTGTATTACACAGCGAATTTTTTTTTTTTTTTTCAAGTTCATTAATTGAAAGTAAAGGGGCAATCGTGAAAAAATAATTATGGAAAAAAAAACTTTTTTTTTTTTAAAAAAACTGTTTTAAAATTATAATTTTCTTTGTTTAAAAAAATTATTTTCGATTTTTATTTTGTTCTTTAATAAAATAAATGTTTTTATTAAACAGTAATTTTCAATTACCAAAAATATGATTTTAAAAAATAAAAACTAAGTTTTTTGTTATTTTTATTTAGATATTTCTATCTATGTATAATTAATTTAAACATGCAAATTGAATTTTTTCAATTAAACAAAATTATCGAACCAATTAAAAAATTCTTTGTATATTCCAATTTAATTAACTCCACTCAATGAAATCGCGCCAATCTTAATCGCATTTTTTTTTTTTTGTCTATACCCATTTCATTTATTTTCTCTACAATAATTGTCGCTTATAAATTAGTATTTTTTAATTAATTATCAATCAAGGACAAAAATCAGTTCGGTTAAAGTTTTATTAATTTCTACAAAATCAGATCTTTTACCAATGGAGATTCTAAACAAATTTTGAGAGACTAAAAAAAATTTCGGATTTTTTAAATTTACCACAAAAGTTTTAATAAACGTCATATTATTATACAGTGAAAAATAAATTTGATTCAAATAATATTGATTACATTAGCATATAAATATCTGTTTATATTAAATTATTATATTAATAAAATTCTATTTGTTAGTCAAAAAAGTTCTATAGAATTTCACTAGAATGATTCTATAGAATCACTCTACATAAATTCTAGTGAATATTCTATAGAGTTTCACTAGAACGGTTCTATAGAATTTCTATATAAATTCTATTAAAATCTAATTCTTAAATAAAAATTCTTAAATAATAACATGAATTTTCTGGCTATTTTCTGGCTAATATCGCAGTGATTATGTTGAACAATTTTATTTTTCTTAAAGATCAATGCGTATAATCATACATATATCCAATTGTCTTTTTAAACAATTTTTCCAAGGAACTTTTTTAATTACCCCTCAATGTCACAACTTTTTTTTCGAAAGCGGAGGTCTCATACTGGGTAGGTGCCACCCATCGTCATTTTCAAGTGGCTGTAAGTTGGAAATGGTTAATTTTACAGAAACAGCAAAATTTGTGGTTGCAATTTAATATTTTTAAAACCATTTTCAATGGATTTTGATTAGAAATATAAAATCTGTAATAACCAAAAAAAAGTTTCAGAATCTTAGGAAAAAAACATTAACCTTTAAGAAAAATAAAATTGTTTAACATAATTTATAGCAATCAGCTATAGAATTTATGTCCCTTTTTTGTTTAAAAATTAGAGTTTACTGAATTCATGTAGAAATTCTATAGAATATTCACTAGAATTTATGTAGAATGTTTCTATAGAATCATTCTAGTGAAATTCTATAGAACTTTTTTGACTTGGTTTTAAATACAGAAACTTTAGGCGCCAATAAAATTTAATTCAAATAAAAATTATTTTGTAAATATTTATTTGAAAATAGTCAATAACCGAATTTTCGAATTAAATAAATTTTTTTGTCATAAAAGGATTGTAATAGAATTTTTTTTTTTTCAATTAAAAAATATTTGCAATTTGATATGAACATATGCGGCTTAGTAGAATAATGGCAAAGGGATACGGAAACATTTACGTGTATTTGATGTCAATTGATTTGCCGCAGAAACTTGTTTTGGCAGACATCAAGGGATTCAACTTGAGACAAGCTCCTCTAAGTTCAATTTCTCTTATTTTCGACTAACTATGCATGTTCTAGTTAAAGCAATGTTTCTCAGTGACATAAGCCATTATACCTTCTACCAACGACTATACTTCGTTGCTCGTTTAATTGGCACCTGAGTTCCACATCACTTTAGGTACTTTAATAAGTTTCAAGAGAGAAGTCAGGGATAAATTGTTCAATTTTACTTACAGTTACCGCAGGAAACTACCTACGTATAACAAGGTGCAAAGAATGAAAAAAAACACACACACACACTCTAAATTTCCTTCCTATTTTTAAATTTTTTCTTTTTTACAAAAAGAATTGTTTTATTCTTAAGGAGCCAGAATTAAATTGTTTCGAAAGAAATTAATTTTATTTAAAAAATGAAAAAATACTAAATTTTAAAACTTTGTCAACGATAAATAATCTAAGTATCCATGGAAAGATACATGATTTCTATTAAATATTTTTTCTACTCTGCAAAAGAAGTGTGTCAAGCGGAAAATCGGACACTAAATCGAAAATTTAGAATGTCTACATTCAATTTCATTTGTCGATAAATCAATTGTATTCGGGAAAGCTTTTCTGGTACTTGTAATAATGTCAACTGCAGCCCACAGAGAAAATTTAGTATTTAGGGATTTTCGAAATTATTGAGAAAAGTAGATAACATTATACTGCCGTACGAAGTAAAAACTTAGTTAACTCATATTTTGGCGAAAAATGAGTTTTTGGTATCAATGGATTCGTAATAAAAAAACGCGTCTGATGGTATTATTAAAAAATTTTTATTTAATTATTTATTGCAAAAAAATAATTATAAAAAATTGTCGAAAACCCAGAAAATGAAGAAATACTACATAAAAAGTATGCTAACTCGAGTTAAGGAGTCCGAAAGTCGTAGCTCGAGCATGATATAAGAAACAAAAACTCAGTCAACTCGAGTTGAGTATTTTTGCTGTCAAAAACGTAGTCGAATTTCATGCATAGTTTCGAAACGAAAACCTTAACTCGAGTTAAGTGAGTATTTATTTCGAAAAGTGGCGTGAGCTAGACCCTGTGTTTCGAAAGCAAACTCCTCAACTCAACATCGTTTAACTTCGGTTTCTCGTCGGGTTGGTTCGGAATCTCGCGTGCTATGATCATGCCGGTTTGTTATTCTTGCAAATAATGCACCGGCTTTTTAGAAAAAGTTTACTTTAGAAAAAAATAAATAAGTGAATAAGTGAAAAAAAAAACGAAAAAAATACAAAATTTTCTTTGATTTTTTTTACTTTTAAAAAGTTTAATTAATAGTTTTTTACTGTTGATTATTATATAAAGACTGTTGTAGTAATTATAAACAGCTGTTGTAAGTTATTTGAATATTATAAGCAAATATAATCAATGTTTTTCCACTAATAACGCCGTTTTTTCATACAATCCTTCTACACATTTTTAATTGTAATAAATTTTATACTGAAACATGTTGATTAAAATTTAATTTTTAAAAAAATATTAATAAATAATAAAATAATAAAAAAATATATAAATTAAAAATAATAAAAATAATCTTTGTTAATCACAATCAGAATAAAATTTAACTCAAAAACAAATTTTTTATAATGTGTATTTATTCCCCCACCTCGCGTGCTAGCTTGAGTTAGGTGAGTTTTTACTTCTGAGCGGCGGCTCGAACTCGCCTACCTTTTCGGAAAGCACTCCTTAACTCGAGTTAACTAAGTTTTGCTTGTGTAAAAAAACACTTATCTCAATTATTTAATATAATTTGTTTAAATAATCAATTTTTGACAACGGATTTAGAAAGAACTCTATTTATTTACCTAGAAAGTGAAGTTAGATTAAAGAATTATTTATATTATATTAGGTTTTTTAAGACAAACAGTCTTTCATCATTTTCTCGGTTTCACGAAAATATGAGTTAAGTAAGTTTTTATTTCGTACGGCAGTATAATAATCTTCAAATATAATTTTTGTGTCTGTAAATTATTTTAACTAACTGAAAATAGAAAAATTCACGCAAACAAATATTTTTATTATTTAAATCGTAAAATTCTAAAATAATTATAATAATTAAATATAAAAAAAATAAATATTCGATTAGTTTACTTTGAAATATCAAAAATTTTTTTTTTTTTCATTTTGGATTCTCTCAACCATGCGTAAGTATAGCAATAAAGACTTTTAAGCTAAAGAAACTGAGAATATAAGAAGAATAACTCCATTGCTGAGTTTATGACTGCAGTCAAGAAACTAATAATTTTAATCTTTATATACGTATTTCATGAAACTTTCCATAATGGATATATATAACTTTTCATAACCAAAGGTATAAAAATACTTTTCTACAAATATTGTAAGAAAATTTAAAAAACATTTATCTATTACAATTAACAAATATTTTAATTTGTTAACAAAGAAATAAAAAATGAAAAATAAAATAAAAAATAAGAAGAACTAAAATAAAATGGAACATAAAGTAGCAAAAACGAAATCAACAATAATGCCAACAATAACTATGTCACATTAATAAAAAAAAATACAGCCACTTTAAAGCACAAAATTGCAGCAACAATAATAACAACAATTAACATCAATTTGTTTTCCCTCAATTATTCTTTGCTTTATAAAATATAAAAAAAAATAGTAGTTTCTATGTAATATAAAAAATAACTTCTTTTTGTATTTCATTTCAATAAAAATGAAATGCAAAAAATTTTCATGAAACGTAAAAAAATTATGTATACAAAGAACTTTGAAAAAAAAAAAATATTTTCGATTGTGAATTTTCAAGAATATGCCTTTAAAAAAAACAACATAAAATTGTTATGCAAATCGTATGCAATTTATAAAGATTTTTTTTATTTTGAAGAAAAAAAATATATATATGTATCATTTTAAATATAAAAATAGCATAAAAAAAAAGTCGTAAAAATATGATCGGTCAAATTTTATTTTATCAGAGCAGTTGTTATCGTCAGCCAGAGTTAAAAAAAAAAAATTCACAGCGACAATAAATGAGGTTTATATTTTCCGATTTCATTTCCTATCTCTACAGCATCCACCTCTTGATTCTTTCTTCGACTGAGAAGAATTAGATCTTCCATTCTTACAACACGTCGGTGGACAAGCACCTCCACCTAATGACTCCTTAACTCTAAAAAAAAATATTTATAAATATTTTAATATGTAAAAAAATCTAAATAGAAAAATTATATTTATTAATTAAAAAAGATATAAATTAAATAAAAAATATATTTGTCTTAAAAAAAATTTTGAGCTAAATATATTTTTTCTCTATAATTGTAAATTTATAGGAAAGCTTTCAATTCTAACTTTGTGTATAATATATATATTTCGCGTATCATGATATGATTTTACACGACACTCAAAATGACCCTGCGGTGGTTACAAGGACAAAATTATATTATACATGGTTAGGTGATAATTTTGCCAGAAGGGTTTTATCAAGTATATAATCATACATATTATTGAAATATTAATCTACTCTTCCCTATTAATTATTTTCAACAAAAAAAATCCATTTTTTACAAAAAATAATGAATTTTTTAATCCACTCGAGATTCACTGAGACAACATTGCACAATAAATTGCACCCAAAGTTGAAGTTAAAGAAAAAGCTTTTTAACTTATTAAAATATTCTCGAGTTCTTTCTTTATATTTCTACCTTTCTTTTAATGTTTCCAATAACTCTTATCTCCTAAAATTATATAAAAACGAGGCAGTTATATCGACTAATTAATTTAATTACCTACTATAATTCAATTAGAAGATCGTTTCTCGATATTTTTTTGCACTTGATTCAAATATTTTAACGAGTATTTAAACAGTTCATAAAGAAGAGAGACGAGAGAGAGAGAGAGAGAAATAGAGAGGGAGAGAGAGAGAGAGATAACAAGGATAGAAGCCACAATGAGGCAACCTCTTTCCGGAAACGGGGAGTATTGTCATAGCAATTCAGGACAAGGTAATAGGCAAGAGAAATTACCAAATGCATATACACTCTACCTAAATATGGAAGATAGGTGCCATCCATCAAGCATGTCATTGATACATGCTCATATGCATAATAATGCGCGCCTCGGATTACATATGCCAATGAATTCACTTCATTTTCCAAAAGACCTATATAAAATCACTTTATATTTTCCTTAGAAAAATATTTTCTAAAAATCCTCACATAAATTCACAATTTTCTACTCCAAAAAAAAAAACAACGTATGAAAAATTTGATAATTGAAAAACAATCCAAATTGACACACTGAAAAAAAATTTATTTGATTCAAATGAGAATTATTAAATAAATATTTATTTGAACCAAATAATTTTTATTTGAATTAAATAAATTGTATTTGAACCAATAACTTTTGTATTTGAAACAAATATCATTTAATTGACTCAAATAATAATTATTTGATACAAATAAATATTTATTTGATAATAGTCAAATAATCGAGTATTTGAACCAAATAAATTTTTTTTTTTTCAGTGCAAAAATGGATCTAATCAAACGAAAATAAATTAAATTTGTATAACAAAATTTTGGGTTTTGATGTTAAAAAATAGAAATTAATTAAATTTTGATGAAATAGGAAATAAAATTAATTTTCCAAATTTTTGAAAATTCAAAAAGAATAGAATTTTGAAAGTCACACAAAGAAGTTATCAAGAAAAAAAATTTGTGAAAAATGTGGCTCATAAGAATATTGTATTCATATGGATTGAAATGATGAAATTGACTATATATATATATTGTATCTCATATATATGACCGCTAACCGATTCTCATTTCCCGAAGAAACGCGACGATGTTTCCTGAAAATCAGAAATTTATCGCTCGTAATAATTCATTGACAATAACTCTTAGATTTCATTTTCTTTACGAATATATACAATTTTTGAAACTAATTTAAATCATTATATAAGCTATATTTTATATTACATTTATTTATAATATAATAATAAATACAATAAATATATATTAATATATTATTTATTTTTTATTATTATTATATTTATTATTATTATTATTATTTATTATTATTATAATATTTATTATTGATAAATATTTATTGTAATAATAATTTATTATAATGAAATATTTAAATATGCAAAAATAAAGTATGAAGTTTTATTTTTCTATAATTTAGTTACTTTTACTGTTCAAGAGAAATATAATTTTTCTGCTAAATGTGAAGAAAATTTATACTAAATATTATCGAAATCAAAATGAGTAAAGAAAATATAGAAAATAAAGAAAATATAGTTACAGAAAACATTAGACACTAAAAACTATATTTGTAATAAAGAAGAAAATTCATAGTCCTACTTTCTGCCACAGCATCCTCCAGCATCCTTTCTTTCCTCTATTTTCTTTTCCGGACTGTAATAAAAAAAATAGAAATATTCTATAAAATTAATTTTACAAATAAAATTATTTTTGCATATGAAAATACATCATTTATTTAAAATTAATTATAAATATCAAATTTTTTTTTCTTTTATAAATTTTATTTAAAAAAAAAATATTAAACTTACTGTTCACATTTGCATGTCACGTGGCCAGAATAATCCTTTTGTTTTGTTACTTTTCTAAATAAAAATAAAATTAATTAGAATATATTCAAAAATCAAATGTGAAATTAAAGTAAATTGTAAAAACTTACGCGCAATGATCACACATGATGAAAATTTATAAACGTCTAAAACTTTATTGAATTATTTATTTATTATTATTTTATTCTTTTTATATTTATTATTATTTTATTCTTTTTATATTTATTTTTTATATATTATATTTTTTATTATTTATATTATTTATTGAATTATTAAGTTCAATTAAATGTCAATTTTAAAACTTAGAATTTTTTCAAAAAATTAGAAACTTGTAAACAAATTTTTACAGTTGACAGTTACTCAATAAATGAATTCATAATTTTCTGATTTCAATTTTTTAACCCTGTTTTGTTTTTTTTTTTCATTAAAAATTGTTTAACTATTTAAATTTTTTACTTATTTTAATTAATCAAAAAATTAATTATAATTTCAATTACTCAATTTTAATTCTTAAATATTAAAATATACATTTAATATTTTAATTATTAAATTATTAATATTATTTATTATACTTATTTTATTATTTTTTTTATTATCATTATTTAATTGTTAAGTTACTAATTATTTTCATTAACATTATCCATAAATCATTTATAAATTTATTTCGAATTATCATCATAAAAAAAAAAGAATTATGTAAAAAATATTTTTTTTGAAAATATCAGATACACTTGCAAATGAGAAAAAGTATCTAATTATGAATAATCAAGTATAATTTTTGATTTAATTATAGATATATAAACATTTGATTTGCAAATTAGTTTGTAAAGCCAAATTCAAGTTGAATATTTGCGAGACTTTTTCCCTTAGTTTCACGAATGAGAAAAAATAAAAATATGGAACCAATCCAAGAGAATGATGCAAATATGAAAACAGTTGTGACTGCATCATAAAATACAATTAACATGTACAATATTAAAATTGCTATCAAGGACATGGACCAACTTAAAAAAACAACAACACTTGAACCAATTAATTTCATTTCAACTGGAAATGAATCTGCATGAAGTGTCCATGCCAATGGACCAATTCCACAATTAAATGATGCAAAATAAAGACATATACATGTCAATGGTACCCAATAATATTTATCACTATATTCAATATTTTCTTTTTGAAGTTTCATAAACCAACCTGCAATTTTATAAATATTATAAAAAATTCTTTGAAATATATTTGTTAATTTTATAAACAAAAATTAGAACTTAGTCTTTATTATAAATTTAAATATTCTAATTTAAATTTAAGATTTAAAAATGTTTTTTCTTTAGTGGAAAATAGTATTCAATATTTCGACAAAAATAAAAAATTTTAATTTTTACAAAAAAGAAAAATAAAAATTTCAAAATAATCGAAAAAATTAAAAAATAAAAAAAAATAATAAAATAGAATATCTAGCATTTATAATACCTAGTAAAGCAAGAAAAATTCCCATAAACATCGATGAAAATATCAACAATTTTCTCCTGCCAATCAAATCAATCAAAATTATGGCCAAAACACTGGCAGCTATTTGAACACTGCCGATAATGAGAATCGTTTCATTCGTATCAAAATCTCCACTTGGATATTTCAATTCAAATATTGAAAATGCGTAGAAAATTATGACATTAATCAAACTAAATTGATGAGTTAAGATTGAAACAATAGTTGCAGAAAAGGAGCGCCAAACTTTTATATTTTTAAATATTGAACTTGACACCTAAGATGGAAGATATATAAATATCAAGAAAAAGAAAAAAATAATATAATTATTTATATAAATACATGCCTTGGATTTATAAATAGTAGCAAGACTTTTAAGTTCCTCTAATTCTTCGCTAAAATCATCGAAATTATTTCTATATCTTTGTAGTGATTTTTTCGCCATTATCTCATCATTTTTTGTTAAATAATAAAATGAACTTTCTGGCAAAAAAATTATAAACGCAATTGGTGCACATGAAATTGAACAAATGAGACTATATTGCCAAATTATTTTATGTTCCTCCATGAAATAATCAATCACAAAAGCATACATGATACCACAATTAATTAATAAATGCAAAAATGTTAGTAGACGATTACGAATTTCCTTATCGGCTATTTCTCCTATATAAATTGGAGTAAGAACACACAAAATTCCACCGCAAATCCCACAAATTAATCGACCAATCAACATATAAATAATCTAAATTATAAAATTAAAAATTATAAAATTAATAAAATAAAAAATATTCTATTTTAATTTATATTTAATCAATATGATAAAATGAAAAAAATCAAAACTTACTTTTGTACGCGAAAAGGAAATAAATGACCAACCAATTAAAAATAGAGGAACCATTAGAAACATTCCATTTGTGAAACCAAATATTTTCAAAATAAATGGAGCACATATAGATCCAAAGCAAGCTCCAATGTTTAAGATGAATCCAATAAATCCTATTTCGAAGATGGTAGCACCTGTGTCATTTAATTGATAACTAACGCTCGAATTCCAAGCTATCGACACTCCAAGAGCAAAACCGCCAAAAGAAGCTTTTAATTAAAAATTAAATCAATTAACACTTTTGTGTGATAATTAATTCATTAATTAATCGAACGAGAATTAAGAATAAATCATACCTAACAATGCACCAAAATATTGCTTTAACCTCATTTTAACTGACATTTCTCAATTTGAATAAATTCCGTCAATTTATCTTCACAATGAAACAGAAATAGTTCGCTTTTTTTTTAAATTAAAACGTCATTAATTAGAAGTCGTTACTTTTTTTCCAACGTGAAAACAAAAATGGAATAATTACTAATTAATCAACATCACACTATGAAAAAATTTTTTATCGATCTTCCAGGAGAGAGAGGTTCGTGTATGTTTACCATTTGTCAAACAAAGCCAGTCATCACCTCCTTTTTTTTCTCAAATTCACATATATAGAGATTATTCGATGACACGTAATACAATTGAGAATAATAATTTTAATATATCATTTTGTTAAATAAATACATACTCGACAATTTATAATATACCTATATATATATAATCCTCTTGTTTCATGTATAAATACGTAAATAAAACAAAAGTATCGAATTGGGATTAAAATTTAATTTTCCCGCGGATTTATTGTCTCATTGGCAACAAAATATAAATCAAATGACAATAAAAAAGAAAAAAAAAAAATTTCAATAGTATTTTTATGCTCATGAATTTTAGTTATTTCATTTTATTAACGAAATTCAAATTTTATGAAAATTTAAACCAACACAGAAGATACTGTTTTCAGGATCTATAAAAAGAAACGAAAATTAATAAATTATTACGTGATTAAAATTACGAAGCTGAAGTACGCAACGTTTATGATAAACGATTTTTAAAGAAATAATTTTTTAAAATGAAAAATTCTATAATTTTTTGCCTAAAAAATATTTCTAGTAGTTTTCATTAATCAAAAAATTATAAAAAAATTATTTTTTTGGCAAAAAATTATAGAATTTTTCATTTTAAAAAATTATTTCTTTAAAAATCGTTTATCATAAACGTTGCGTACTTCAGTTTCGTATTAAAATTTTAATAATTCCAAATATTATACTATTTACTTTCAAAAATGTTTACTCACTTCCGGTTCTAATTTAAAGAAACATTTTGCTACTTGAAAGATTTTATCACATTTATCTTTGCCAGCTATAGAAATAATAAATTTTTATTTTAATCATAATAATTATATTAAATAATAATAATTTAATTGAAATAATTTTATTTTTTTGAAATTATGACTTACTAATGACTTTGCATTTATCAAAATTACTTCGCACTCGAGCCTGAGAGTTTTGAGGGAAAAATTTCAAAACTTTGCCAAGATTTATTACATTCTTTTCGTTAAGAACGCGATGTTTAATTAAAACACAACGTAAATAACACTTTAAATTTCGATCCTCAACATTAAAGTCACCAGCTCTTAATTTTTTCAAGGATTCTGAAATTATTTTTTTTTTTTTAATCAAAGAACTTTTTTTTAAATAAAAAACGAAATAAATAAAATGTATTTAATAAATAATAATAGAAAGAAAATTGAAATAAAATTAAACAATAAATAATTGAGCTCACCAGAAGAAACGCCTGTTTCTTTTCTACACTTTCTTAATGTATTGGCATTAACAGAAATCTGTAAAAACATGAAGAAAATATGCGATGGAAAAATGCATCTCAAAAAATAACCTTGGAAGAAAATATGAAACTTACGAGGCAAATTGAAATAATCAGAATAATATTCTTCATATTAAAATCGAAGAGAAAATTAAAAATCATCAAATCCAATGTTATTTTATCGCTAAAAGCAATGATTAAACAATTAATTTTTTTACATAACAATCCTAATAGAAATTTTTTTTGAAAGAATTTTTAGATAAACGAAAATTTCGAGACAAATTCCAAAAAAAAAATGTATAATAAAAATAATAATTACAATTGTCTAGAAAATTGTACAATTTATATACGTAATTATGAAGAATCATTATATTTTTAAACAATGTATCTAATTAAAAACTCACCAAATTTTAAATATAATAAGAAATAACTAACATGTTGTTAAGAGAACCAAAAGATGAATAATGAAAAATCAATTAACTTTACCTATATCACGAATTTATTTTCAAATTTAATCTTAATTTTGAATGATTGTTGTCGATTAAATAAAAATGAAATCGATTGAACCTGTTTCTCTTATTGATTAAAATCCAATTAGTATGGGTTTCTAAATCGCCAACTGCTAATTTAGACTATAGCAAAAAATAAGCCAGAAAAAAAACTCTTAAATAAAATTGAATATTTTCAATTTAGGAAAAAGGGAAAAATATTTTTTTCGATAAAATATCTATAAAATGATTTATGGATAAAATGTATTAAATTCCGCTAAAAAAAAACCCCACGATTTTCCCTAGCAATATACTTTTTTTAACTTTAAAAATTTTTTATTTAACTTTCGAAAAATTTACCAATATTTAATTATATTTTATTTAAATAAATTATTTAAATATTTAAATAAAAAGAAAATTATAATTTTTGTTTGCACATACGATTGAAGTTACAGTTAACTTTAAAATATTTTAAAAAATAAATAAATAATACTTACCTGAAATATATAAATTTCACTCTCAAAACACTTTATTACACTTCGCGTTGTTTAATTTCGCGAAAATGGTTAATATCTCGTTCTCAATAATTAAAAATTTCCAAAAATTATATCACTAAAATTTTTTAAAAGAACTCACCGATTCACAAATCCCACGTCGAAAATGTTGAAGAGCCATAGCTGCATTGCTCAAAGATCCTCCAATTTTTTTGCAGCCAAAAATATCACAACACTTTCACTAAATTTTATTTGCATATTTTTAAACGCGCACTGATTCTAAAAAATTAATAATTTATTAAAATGTTGTGAAGTAACAAATTATTTGTAATCATTATTTTAAATAGTCAATTTTAGCAAATATTAAATTTTGCAAAAATTCAACAAAAATCAATGATTAGTCACATAAATTGTCACTTATTCACAATATTGATTATTTTCTCACTATTTTAATTATTAACATTGCAAACAGAAAACTAAAAAGCGATTTAAAAAAAGGCGCACTGACATTATTTTAATTGAATTAGAAAAACTTAATTTTCATTGAAAGAAAAAATTTTTTTTGTTTTTATATTGGACCTTTTCTTTTATTTATCCTGACTCTGTAAAACAAAAACATATATTTTATTAATTATGCATTAAAAAGTTGAATAATTATTTCAAATTAGATGTACAATAACTAGGAAATAATATATATATATAAAAAATATATTTTCAAATGGATGCGGAAAAATTTAATTTTTTTAGGTTATCATTATAAATATTTTGTGAAATTAATAAATACTCACCAAATAATTTGTTTGCACAATGAAGACGACCAAAAGATGATATACTTATCAAGCCATTTGTCCACGGAGATCCCTCCTCTAGGTTAAAATCAAAATTTTCATTTTGACAATAACCATTAACAAGGAGACCGTGTTCTAATGGCTCAAATTTCTCCTCTTTGCACCGCCTGCAGGTCGTCATGTCTCCAAATAACGGGAGCTGAAAAAGAAACAAATCATTACTTTATGCACAAAATCGAAAAAAAAAAATGAAGAGAAACAAAACATTTTTAACAATGTACAATCGACGCCATTTTGGCAAAATGTCATTGTTGCAAAAGAATTACAAATTTTTTACCACATTGGAATAATTTTCAATAAATTTCAATGTTTTTCCTATATTATAAAAGCACAACTATGAAAATTTTCGAGAAATTGGAACAATTGATAAATAAAATTCTGATACAACACGTGACAATACATTGACGATTTTTACACATTATGTCGATAATTAAATAGTCGAATATAATGATATATTAGAAAATATTACACCCCTCAACTAAAGAAACAATCAAAATAAAAAAAAATTATAAATAATACTTACCATTTTTACAAGATTAATGTAAAAATTAAGAGCCAACAACAAGATCACAAAAAATTTTCAACGTTAGAATTGACACTAAGAAAATAAATGCTATGATTGGTTGAATATAAAAATGGCGGTAAAAGTTCAAAATCAGCCCTGACACCTATCATCCATTTAAAGAACTTATAATCTAATTTCCCTGAATTATCGACTACTACATATTCCCCACAGTCGATATCTCAATAGTTTGCAGGTTCTCCGCGTGAAGCCGGCGGCGCATTTGTCGAAATGTCTATACAAATTGACAAATTTTCATATTTTCGTCTGCTAGGAAGATACGCATTATAAAATAGTCACTTTGATATAAAATAGTATAAAAATTGTTATAATTGACACAAAATTTATAAAAAAATAATAGAAATTACAAAAATTAAATACCAGCTGTGATTTTGTAACATCATTTTCGGATATTATTACGTAATTTTGTGACATGCAAACATTTTCAACGATCGTAACCATCATATGATGACTCAATCTGCAATGTTCACTTAAAGTGCCATTGGATTGTGTGATTTTGTAATAATAAATTTAAAACTTCAACAGCCTGTATATTCTAGAAAACAGATGAACAATTTATTGAATTGATACAAAGGAATCAAATATAAAATATCTTCATTTAACAAGGTAAGATATATGTTTTACTTTTGGAGGTTATCTTTTTGATATAAAGAAAAAGTAATATTGATTTTAAATTCGTAATTTATAATAATAAAAATTCTGTTAAATTTATTTCAATTTTGAATTAATTATATTAATAATAATTGAATTTATTAAATAATAATATGAATTGGATTTCTATATATATTTTCAATTAAAAATAAAATTACTTTTATATAATGTAGATTTTACAAAAAGTGATATTATTTGATTATGAAATACGTGTTTATTTAAAAATTGTAATTTTCCTTTGTATTTCGTCTGGTATATAAATATTAACATAAAAAGCATCTATATTGTGAAAATGTATTTTGTCAAGGTTAAGACCCAGGAATAATCCATTTTATTAACTCCAGTTATCTGTGTAATATATAAAGTTAAAGCTCGTGTCTATTAAAGTTTTTAGCACACTATCCACTTGAAGGGACATTGACCATATGGTGCAAACTTACACTTTCAATGTCTCTCGATGTACGGGGTGTAATAACTCAAGGTTGTGGGACCATTATCCTAATAATGATTTGTTGTTTTATTAATCTAATAATTGAATGTGACAACCGCTAAATTATGTAGCTTTAAGTTAAGAAAAAGAGGCCAGGGTCGTCTAAATTAATAAAATAATCTACAAAATTCATTTTTTAATTATATTTATTAAATAACAAAGAAAATTTTCCATCAAAATTCGATTTCAAAAATGAAATTTAAAGTTTTAAAACAAAATATAAATAAATGTATTATTTTCTTATTAAATTTGAAAATTGACCTGGACACATAGTTATAGTGTTTTATTTGCAAAAAATAAAAAATACAACTTTTTAATTTTCAAAGTTTATAACATCACAAAGCAATATATAAAATGAGTATGCCGCTTGCGTTTTGTCAGAAACAATGTCCTGGTCATAAAATATTAATTCAATGATATTTCCTCACAATATATTCCAAACAAATAATTTTATACCACATTTGAAATTCCACTTATTTGCAGTCGACAAAAATATATAATATAATAATATTCTCAAACAAATAGCTGAAATATTTAAAAGGTCATTTAATTAGGTCCGTTAACCTGGCTTGTCCACATTGTCCGATCTGGATAAAACCTATTTGAAAATTAAGGGCTAATTTAAGGCTAATTTAATGCCCTAATGCCGAATTTAATGCTCGGCATTTTCTTTAAAAAACTTGTGGACAAGCTAGCTTAACATTAAGGTGGCTTGTCCACACAATGAAGGAGCACTCGTAGGAAGGTCTGCTATAGGTCAAAATTTAGGGCTTTTTTAAGGCTCTTGAATGCTGTATTGTGGAATTTAATGCCGGCATTATTTCGCGAAATATTTGCAAAAATTCCATTTTTACGTTATCTCAGTTTGTCCACATCATGAAGGAACACTCGTAGAAAGGTCTACTATGGATCAAAATTTAGGGCTTTTTTAAGGCTCTTGAATGCTTTATTGCCGAATTTAATGCCGGCATTATTTCGCGAAATAATTGAAAAATTCAAATTTTACTTGATATCAGTTTGTCCACACAATGAAGAAGCACTCATAGGAAGGTCTACTATAGGTCAAAATTAAGGGCTTTTTTAAGGCTCCTCAATGCTCTATTGCCGAATTTAATGCCGGCATTATTTCACGAATTATTTGCAAAAATTCAATTTTTACTTGATATCAGTTTGTCCACACAATGAAGAAGCACTCATAGGAAGGTCTACTATATGTCAAAATTAAGGGCTTTTTTAAGGCTCCTCAATGCTCTATTGCCGAATTTAATGCCGGCATTATTTCACGAATTATTTGCAAAAATTCAAGTTTTACATTACAACAGTTTGCCCAAAAACAAAGGATCAGTCGTAGGAAGGTCTGCTATAGGTCAAAATTTAGGGCTTTTTTAAGGCTCTTGAATGCTGTATTGTGGAATTTAATGCCGGCATTATTTCGCGAAATATTTGCAAAAATTCAACTTTTACTTGATAAGCTGGCCCATTTCTGCTGCTACTCAGCCACTAGTCAGACCCTAAATAGCGTCGCTCGTCTGAAAAGTCTAGCCAAAAAGGTCGTTAATCCTAGAAGTACCACTTCCACGAAAAAAGTTGTTATATATGCTAACATTTAGCTTGACGTCAAGCTGGATCCGAATTAGTAGTTTTCTACTAATGAAAGAGTGCGTATTCGTTTACTAATTGAATTAGTAACAGTTTTGACTAATTTGTAGTAAAAAAAACTACTAATTGCAAGTAGAAAACTACTAATTTATGGAGTAAGTCGTATTTTTTACTTTTTTAAATTAGTAAGTCGATTTACTCCATGAATTAGTAGTTTTTTTTTACTAAAAATTAGTCAAAACTGTTACTAATTCAATTGGTAAACGAATACGCACTCTTTAATTAGTAGAAAACTACTAATTCAGATTTAGAGAGTAGGGTTCTCAACTAAGACTATTTAAATTTTTCAAAAACCACACCTAAGTTCAAAAAAACATCCCCAATTATTAAAACTTGATTTAACCAAACAATAATCATATAGGACTTAGGAGCTAAATTAGTGTTCTTCAATAGCACAAAATTGACTTTTTAAAATTGCACTCCCAAGCACCCCAATCATGTAACTGATAGAAAACCAAACACAAAACCTACCCTCAAATAATTCAACTTAATATTTTCAAAAAACAAACACATACACATTTAGAGTTCTTAAAAAGCACTTAATTAGATGTTCAAAAATGATCCACCAATTTCAAAAACTACCCCTGAGTAGTTCAAACTCAATTTTTTCAAAAAAAAGTACTAAAGAATTTGGGGCTCATAAATAGCACTAAATTGGATGTTCAAAATTGATCCACCAATTTTAAACACTACACATAATTAGTTCAAACACAATGTTTTCCAAAAACAAGTACTTATGAATTTAGGGCTAATTTAAGGCTCTTAAATAGAACTAAATTAAATGTTCGAAAATGATCCACTAACTTCAAAAACTACTCCTGGGTAGTTCTAACTCAATTTTTTCAAAAAACAAGTACTTAGAAATTAAGGTTAATATAAGGCTCTTAAATAGAACTAAATAAATGTTCAAAAGTGATCCACTAATTTTAAAAACTATACATGAGTATTTCAAACTCAATTTTTTCATGAAAAAGTACTTAGGAATTTAGGGATAATTTATGGCTCTTTACGAGCACCGAATTGGATATTCAAAAATGATCCACCAACTTCAAAAACCACCCCTGAGAAAATCAAAATCAATTTTTTCAAAATCAAGTAATTAGAAATTTAGGGCTAATTTAGGGTTCTTAAATAGCACTAAATTAGATGTTCAAAAACGATCCACCAACTTCAAAAACTTCGCCTCAGTAGTTCAAAAATTTCTTTTACATTTTTATATCGAAAATAACGATTTTTAATAAACAAATTATTTTTTTTAAACTGTGAAAGCTATTATTTTTACTTTTTTTTATTTTTAACATACCTGAAAATAGTAAGAATATTTTGCAAAAAAAAATTTCGAGTAGTCATCCAAAAAGGGTAATCAGATTATCAGTAAAACATTTTGCAAAGTATTTTAGTAGTATTTCCATGTATGTAAATATAAAAAAAGTAAAACAACGGGTCTAAAGTTACAAAAAAAAATTTGTTTATAAAAAAATCGTTATTTTCTATAAAAAAATTCAAAAATAAAATTTTGAACTAGTCGGGGGTAGTTTTTAGGATTGGTAGATCATTTTTAAACAGCCAATACAGTGCTATTTACGAGCAATAAATAAGCAAGTAATTCTAAAGTGCTTATTTTTTAAAAAAATTGTTTAGACTTGATAAGGTAGTGTTAAATTTGGCATAAAAGCATTAAAGAGTTTTAAATAAGACCTAAATTTTGACACCTAGAAGACCTTCCTAAAAGTATTCCTTCAATGTGTGGACAAACTAATATAGCGTTAAATTTGAATTTTTGCAAATAATTCGCGAAATAATGCCGGCATTAAATTCGGCAATAGAGCATTGAGGAGCCTTAAAAAAGCCCTAAATTTTGATCCATAGTAGACCTTTCTACGAGTGTTCCTTCATGATGTGGACAAACTGAGATTACGTAAAAATTGAATTTTTGCAAATATTTCGCGAAATAATGCCGGCATTAAATTCCACAATACAGCATTCAAGAGCCTTAAAAAAGCCCTAAATTTTGACCTATAGCAGACCTTCCTACGTCTAATCCTTTTTTTTGTACAAACTGTTGTAATGTAAAACTTGAATTTTTGCAAATAATTCGTGAAATAATGCCGGCATTAAATTCGGCAATAGAGCATTGAGGAGCCTTAAAAAAGCCCTAAATTTTGATCCATAGTAAACCTTTCTACGAGTGTTCCTTCATGATGTGGACAAACTAAGATTACGTAAAAATTGAATTTTGGCAAATATTTCGCGAAATAATGCCGGCATTAAATTCGGCAATAGAGCATTCAAGAGCCTTAAAAAAGCCCTAAATTTTGACTTATAGTAGACCTTCCTACGAGTGTTCCTTCATGATGTGGACAAACTGAGATAACGTAAAAATTGAATTTTTGCAAATAATTCGCGAAATAATGCCGGCATTAAATTCGGCAATAGAGCATTCAAGAGCCTTAAAAAAGCCCTAAATTTTGACCTATAGCAGACCTTCCTACGACTAATCCTTTGTTTTTGGACAAACTGTTGTAATGTAAAACTTGAATTTTTGCAAATAATTCGTGAAATAATGCCGGCATTAAATTCGGCAATAGAGCATTAAGGAGCCTTAAAAAAGCCCTTAATTTTGACCTATAGTAGACCTTCCTATGAGTGCTTCTTCATTGTGTGGACAAACTGATATCAAGTAAAAATTGAATTTTTGCAAATAATTCGTGAAATAATGCCGGCATTAAATTCGGCAATAGAGCATTCAAGAGCCTTAAAAAAGCCCTAAATTTTTACCTATAGCAGACCTTCCTACGAGTGCTCCTTCATTGTGTGGACAAGCCACCTTAATGTTAAGCTAGCTTGTCCACAAGTTTTTTAAAGAAAATGCCGAGCATTAAATTCAGCATTAGGGCATTAAATTAGCCTTAAATTAGCCCTTAATTTTCAAATAGGTTTTATCCAAATCGGACAATGTGGACAAGCCAGGTTAACGGACCTCATTTAATTATTGAAATTAATCTTTTTAACATACTACATTCTTGTAAAGTAAAATGTTAAAAATTCATTTTAATTATTGATGCATTTTAAATGATTATACATTACAATTGATAATTTACAATTATGATGTGCGATTATTTTTTCAATTTTTTGGTATGAATTTTCATGACAGATTTTATCATAAACGTTTTTTTTTTTTTTTTTTGAATTTTTAATAAAGAAATATTAATAATTATGGTGATTACAATGTTTTAAACATCTTCGAAAATAGCGATTTAAAATTAAATTTTTCTCTATTTTAATATTTCTTCATTAATTCTTTTTTTTAATTTTAATTCTAGTCTCGTACACAAATATCAAAAAAATGTTCGTGAATAAATTAAGACAATGATACGTGAAGACCTTTTTCACAACATCGTTTTTGTGCTAACTGTATATATAGCTTGTTCCGGACTTCACTTTCACTCTCAACGCGAACGAATTTCATTTTTCTCAAGTTGTAAGAATTTTCATTATCTTAAATTTATCATACTTATCATGATAATTATTATTTTTTAACATTATTATTATATTTTAATAATAATAATAAAAATTTAGAAACAACATAACTAAATAATTATAACAAATTTTAATGAAATTGAAAAAATAATTACAATTTTATAAAATTATTAAAATAAATCTACTCTAATGATAAGAATTTTTAAAAAAATTTCTTTATTTAAATTTTTATCATACATAATTAGAAAATGTAAAAATAATCTTGTAAAATTAATTTTCCTTTATACATTTATTTAAAAATGATACTTGAAAGATGTTAAAGATTAATTTGCCATTATGGCTAATGGAGAATAAAAATCGTTTTGACATAATCAAATCAATTACCAAGTCAGTAACGTCAAGGTTGCCACTCTCACTCATCCCACTTTACTACTTTTCAATTTGCCTAACATTATTAAGAACGAATTTCTGCTAGAAAAATTTGTTAGAAAGTATAAGCTCTTTCCGCTCTTAACAATAATTCGTTTATTTATAAAAAAAAAAATAAATAAACTTTTATTAAACATTTAATTAAAATTAAAGAATAACATTTATATATCATTAAAAAAGTTAATATTAATAAATAAATTAATTTATATCACTTATTTAATCTAATTTTTTTATCACATAGGAATATTTTTGATAAATCCTGATTTTGAAATTTAAACTCAGAAAGGTGATTTAAATAAATAAAAAACTTGAAAAAATTTGAATCTAGAATTCTTTGAAGGGAGATGAAACTAATATTTATACTATTTGATTAGAATCATAACACATTATTTCTTTGTACGTGTTTTTTAGCAAATATTCCAAAGAATGCGTTTAAATATAGAATGTATACGTGTTTTCTCTAACTTTGAAATCTCGAATACATAACTACATAATATTTCGAAAGGACGAGACATCTTATGTCATACGAAAGTTTTATCGAATACAAACCGCCATGTCCCAGGTGTTGAAGAATTTCATTCACAAGACTCGTTATTCCTCAAACATTTTCAAATTCAAGTGCAAAAGAAAATTTAAAATTGAGGATTTAAATAATTCATAAAATTACTTTTTCTAATTTGAATTGTACAATCTATAATTAAAATTAAAAGAGTTCTAATTGAAACAGAAAAAAAAATTCTTATCTTCATAGAACTTTCAATTAATTTTAAATGTGAAATTTTTAATTACTTCAAAAATTCTTCTTTTTATTTTGATTTTATCTTTCTTCTACAATTGTTTAGTAATTTATCGATATTAATTTTTCAGATCAAAAATTAGAAGAGGAATGGTAACAGCAAGTTAAAGGTGAATGAAATAGATGATTTTAATTGATTTTTCATCAAAATAAATTGTAACTGATGGCAAACGTGAAAGACCGAACTCTTCCGGACCTTGACGATCGGCCTTTCGCAGCGGGATCAAGAGACTGACTTGAAACGTGCTCTGACACAGGAAAATCAGTTGAGACGCGACTTTGTAACCGAGCGGTTTGTGCCTACCTATTTACCTTTCTAATTAATAAGCCCAATTATCAGTTAAACGTCCTTGAATGATTTCTTAACACCCTACTTTGTGTTGATGTTTTTTTTTTTTTTTTTTTTTTTTTCTTCAAGAGGGGAAAGTTTTAATTTTTTAATTTTTCAGCCTCTTTTTTTTCATCTCTATTATCAAGTGTTGAATAAATTTTTTTTTTAAATTATGTTTTGTTGAAAAAAATTGTAATTATTCATTCCTGACGAATGAGAAAGAAAGATTATTGGGAAATTCTGGAATTAAAATCTGCTCACTTAGGTCATGAGGCGCAACCTCACTTTTTAAAGTCGTGTGACCACTAGTCGATGGATATTTTGGGTTGAACGTTTATATAATAGGTATGTAAAGGATGAAAGTCACTTGCCAAACTTGCATTTAATTGCAATTTGTTTCTGGTTTTTTCTTCTCAATATATCTTCTTTTATTCCGCTTTGCAATTTTCACTTTCGATTTTAGCCGGGAGCGGAGTTTTTTTTTTCTTCTTTTTTTAACGAAGCATAACAAAACGATTGATTTTGAAATTATAATTGTCTCTTGTTGTTATTTTTTTTTTTTTATTTATTTGTTCTATTTTATGTAATAAAACAGCAATTCTGGAGCAGTTGACTTGGAATTGATTGCAGGAAATGAAATGAAATTTTTCTGAGAAAGTATATGAGAGAGAGAGAGAGAAAAAAAATAATAGAATAAGTTAATGAAAACTTAGATTTATCATTGTTGTATTTTGAAATCGCTTTTTTTTTATCAATAATTTGAATAATTTTTTGAAAAATCAAATTGTCATTTTGATATTTTATTTTTAGTTCTTATTTTATTTCTCTTTTTCTTCGTTCTCACGTGAGAATAACATTGTTGTTTTCTTTATTTCTTTTTTGTCCTTAGAATCGATATTTTTTTTTTTATTCATACAAAACACGTGATCTAATTGTAATTTCTGGTCCATTCAACATCAGAGTGCGTGATGCGTTTAAAGAGCAATGAGAAATCTGAATTTCAATGTTTTCAGTGAAAAAAAGAAAAAAAAAAAAACTCTTCTGCGAACAAACGCTCAGTATTTCAATATTTTCAATGACATATTCGAAAAATAGAAACTTTTAAATCATCTCAGAAAATGTTGTTTAATTTCAAAAGCGACTATTGTCATTTCTTTTTCATTATCTAGTCAAAAAAAAAAAACTGTACATTTATATACATATATATGTATATCTATATATACTTTGGTGTGGCTGCCTTTCTCCTTTTTATAGTTTATTTGAACTTTCATATTCTTAGTGAATTCCAAAGTTTAAGTAATTTGACTCTATGTCAATTTATTTATTACTGTTTTCATAGATAACTTCCTTTTTTATTGGAAGGAGATTATTGTTTTTATTCATTAGTTTATAAATTTTTCAATTAAAGATTTATTCTTTTTCCCCATGAAAAAATCAGAATATTAAAATAGTTTTAATTTTATGTTGTACAATGTCACGTTGTCATGAATGTAGAAGACAAAATTAGCGGTGCAAACAGTCAAAGTCAGGGCCAAGAAATTATTCGTATTTCGAAGGCATTTTGCACGTGACTACTACAAAGGATACTTACGGGAAAAAAAATTAATAATACATCGAGTAAATTTTAATTTATAAAAAGAAAATGAATTCTTTATTTTAAAAATTCAACGAGTTTCTATATTTATAAATAAATGAATTAAAAATTAAAAATAGTAATTAATATTAAATATATTTTTTTTTAATTGAATTATTTTTATAATTATGTATTTTTGTAGGGATGAAGTGTAAATTTGTATTATGTAAATTTAAATATTTTTTTTTATCCGCGATAAGAATCCATCTTATCATTTCTTTATAGTCCCAGTTTCACTCTATTTCCTTTTTCAATTCATTGTCTGACTAAACTCAGTTGCTTCTACTGTGGAAATTCTAATTATATGTATGAACAATTTTTAAATAGTATCAATTTTTTATTAAAGATAATAAAAGATAAAACAATGGCAATTTAATATACTTTCAATTACTTTTTAATGTCAATTTTTTGAAATAATTATTTTTATATATAACTATAATAATTAGAAAAAATTTAATTTTTAAATATATATATAAATATTGAAATCGAATATTTTGGATAATTTAAAAAAAGTTGCCTAATTTAAAATTTTCATTTTATTCTTCTGGCTATCAACAAGTGTTGATTATTAAATTAATTAATTAAAATTTCTGAAATGTATTTTTAAAAAAATTGAAACTGATACATTAACTATATCACTTTGATATGCCTATACCACACGTGTAATTGAAAAAAAGGGTAAAAAAAATAATGGAAAATCCTCTCGATTAATAGATCATCATCGTTTGACATACTTCACCTTGTCACATTAATCGTTGATTCTTTTTTTTCTTATCTGTTTTACTATATATTATATATACTATTTAAAAACAAAAATATTACAATTTTATTTATTACGTTAAAATAAGTTCGACAAATAGAATTTTCTCATAAATATTCATCATTTAAAAAAAACAATTACAAAAAAATGTATTTTTTTAGAATATGTAAATTATAGTATGTATTTAAATTTATTTTCCTTTTTTTATCATTCCCTGAGAAAGAAGTAAAAAAAAAAAAATGAAAAAATTAACCTTTATGAGCGATATCGAAAATTATTTGGTATTTAAATTTTATTAATTATTCGAGAATTTTTTTTTAATTATTATAAAAATGAGAAATTTTAGATAATATAAAAAGTTTACAATTATTTATATCATTATAATGGGAAATATAAATATTCTTACTTCTTTTTGTTATAAAAAATTTTTAATTTAAAAAAAAAATTGCAGGCGCATATTTAAAAAAAATTTTGTTTTTATTTAATATATATACCTATATATATATATATATATAAGAAATAACAGAAATATATCATAATTTTATTGTACAAAGAATACAGGTTTTTCTGTGAATATAAGGGAAAAAAAAACCATCAATGGCATGGTAATTTTTTTTTATATATAATTATCATGCAATATACACTTAATGTGCAATGTGTAAACGCAGTCATCGCACTCTGATCATAGCCGATGAAATCCTTGCTTGCCTTGAACGATTAAAGGTGTCTCGTGTAATTTCGTGACATAGATTTATCAATTGCTAATAGAATGTTAAAATATTCCATTTTCATCAATGTGTGCCATCTCATCTCAATTTTTCTATCTTTGTAATAAATTAGAGTATTTTATTTTATTTCTTTTCATTTTCCAGTGAGTAATTAAATTAGTAATTTTATTATTTACTAATTATTATAAAATAGTAATTATTAGTAGAAAAAAAATTGCCATTTTTCGATGAATCATAATTATTATAATGAAATGTGGATTTTTCTGTTATATTGTTGCAGAAAATCGTTTCTTGCATCAATTGTCTGGAAGAAAAGATGCTGGGACCAATATTCGAAGTACATGGTCGCTTTTGCGCGAGCCATCCTCTTGAGGTGATTGTTGCCACATTCACCCTGACAGCATGCATTCTTAACATTGAAATCGGAAATAGTCAAACGAAAGAGGAAAGTCTGTCAGCCACGCATTGTTGGCATGATCGTTGTTCATTTGAGGTAAAAAGAACTTGATAATTTCACTAACGGTTCATTTCTTTTTTTCAATATTCAATAACAAAAGAAAACATTCTTTTTTAGAATTTAATTACATTTCTTCGTTTTTTATTCTCTTGAGTTTTTTTTTTAAATACTTCAACCGCAAATAAAAATAAAAGAATAAAATTTTCGTAACACAGTTATTGAGAGACAATAGTGTAAAATTATTATTTAAAACTAGGGAAAAATGTGTATTTTTTTTTTTATTTATGCAACAGCAAAAATTTACAATTCTGAATTATTTAACAAGAAATATTTGCGAGAAAAAAATATTCTAGAATACATTTTTTTCTAAATGTCAAGATTGTATAATTTTTGCTGAATTCTAAAATTGAATCAGTGTGGAATTTCGTCATTTCAAAAAAAAAATTGCAACATTCTTCTTCCAGGATCAAAATGCAGCTGATGTAATATTGATGACTATAATTCGTTGTTTGGCGATACTCTTCAGTTATCATCAATTACGAAATCTTCAAAATACAGGATCTAAATACATTCTTGGTATGTTTAAAAAAAAAAAATGCTAGAATTTTTAAATTCGCTAATTTTTCTTTAAAAAAAAAATTTGCTTTTATTTAATATTAGAAATGGATTTATTCTTGAAAACTAATCAGATTCTAGACATCAATAATTCGTAAATTTTTTTCAAATAATATTTTTGGATTTTCAACATTGATGACTAATTTTTATTTTGTCAACAAAATCATATTTGAATAATTTGGATTGATATGTGTATAAATTAATTTATGCTTCGATTACTTATATATTGATGTTTGTGTTTGTTTTTTTTAAATCGATTAATTAACTAATGATTTTATTGAATATTCCAATTAGAGTTGAAATTATTCAAAACTACAGAAAATATGTTTTTTTTTTATTTATGTAACATCTAAAATTTACAATTCTGAATTATTTAAAATATTAAAATTATCATATCATGGGTTGTAAAAAAACAATCGTTTTAAGAAAAAATAATTAATTTGAACTATTTTAAAAAAAGGTCAAGTGCCTGAATAGTTAGAATAATAATAAATTTAAATAAATAATAAATAGCAAATAATAAATTACGTTGACATTTTTGTGAATTTTTTTTTTATGACGGCTTAGAAAAATGTTAGTTTTTCATGATTTTTTTTTTTATGAGTGATGCATAATTTTAAGTAATAAGAAGTGATCATTGATAAGACAGATGCTTTAAAAGACGTGTGAAAGCATTGAGCGCCAGTGAAAGTTCCATAGAAAGTGATAGCGTTTCTTTCGAGGCCAATGTGAGGTCATTGTCTATCAGAATTACCGAATTTCCTCAGAATCTGCGTATTTATTTGAAAAAAAAATTATTGATTTTGACTATTATAATTTTATTATTTAATTAATTTAAAAAAATTTGTCTAAAAAAAATTGTTTTAATTTATTAAAACAATTATTATTGCCCGATACTATTTTTGCCCCTTGGATAATTTTTATGATTTTATTTTTAATAGAAAGTATTATTATTTATTGCAAAATTTAATAATTTATTCTTTAATAAATTTTTCATATACGTAATGAAGAATTAAAAAAGTAATTAAATTATTATTTACAGGTGGAGCTGGACTTTTTACCGTATTTTCCAGTATAGTGTTCACTTCAAGTGTTGTGAATTTTGGCCAAAGTGCTATTTCCGATTTAAAGTAAGTATTTTCAGCAGTAAAAAGAAAATTTCTTCCATTTTTTTTAACATATTTTTTATGAAACAAAATTTTTTTAACATTCTTTACTTTTTTTGTGAATTAAATTTTTAGATATCATTAATTTACAGTTATACACCTTCTTTTAATGTCATAGATTTGAAAAAAAAAACGGAATAAATTATCGAAATTTAATTTTAAAATTCCGTTTTTACATGAATTTCTTATACGATTTTGCTTCTAACGCATGTTTTAAATTTCATTTTAAAATTTATTGACTGATTAAATTGAAATGTATATTTAAATTTAATTGAGACTTTCCTGCACGTTAAAGCTCTAACGTGAAATAAATTTTATATTTGAAATTCAATGTGGGATTCCCCGGTCATTTGAAACATTGTAATAAAAATGAATTTATAATATAAACTTGTTTATGAATGGTAAAAATTTATTTTTATACTATCCGGCAATTTCAGGGATGCCTTCTTTTTCTTTCTTCTGGTCATTGATTTGAATAAGGCACGTTTGCTGGCACAAATTGCTTCAAGTTCACGAAATCAGGAGGAAGTTCGTGCAAATATTGCACGTGGAATGACACTATTGGGTCCAACAATTACACTCGACACTCTTGTGGAAATTCTTTTAATTGGCATTGGATCACTTTCGGGTGTCAAGAGACTTGAGATACTTTGCACATTTGCCTGTCTTGGTGTCGTTGTTAATTATCTCGTGTTCATGACTTTTTATCCTGCCTGTTTGTCACTAATTGTTGAGGTAATATTTTCTTTTCTATTTTTTTTTCTCTCATTTATTTAACTTTTATATATATCTATTAATTATAATTTTATTTTAATTAATTTAGACTTGAATTTTATTTTGATAATTAATTATAAAATATATTACAAAATTTTTAATTACGAAAAAAAATAGTTTGCAAGAAATTGAATTTGATTTTGCAATATGAGGAAAAGTTTTTTTTTTTATACATGATTGAATAATGTATTTTTGCTTTCTCTGCTTTTGTTTTTCTAAGGAGAGTGAAATTTTTATTTGATTTACAGTTGTCGCGCGGCAATCACGTAATGGGCGCTGACAAAATACTAATGATGCCAGGTTTAAATGAAGAAGACCGGAAACCAAATCCAGTTGTCGAAAGAGTCAAACTCATCATGATTGCTGGACTTTTCATCGTTCACGCTCACAGGTAACTCTCTTTCACTCTCTCAAAAAATCGGTTTTGTAAAGAAAAATAGCTTTCACAAAAAACACACACACACACATATTTCACAAGAATTTCCGATTACAGTTGTATTTCACAATAATAATAATATTGAAATTAATTTCACAAGAGAATTTAATAATTGAAAATTGTTTTAAAAAAAGAAAGAAAAGAATAATTTAAATATGTTGTAATTATTTTCGTAAATAGAGAAAGGACTCGTGAGAGAAATGAGATCGATTTTAAATTCTGCAGGTGAAAGAAGGTCAGGAACCGGTCTAATTTTATTACAACATTCTTATGAAACTGACGACGACCTTTAGTAAAAGATGTCGAATGATGAAACGACCGCTTTATTGGATGTTAAATACGACCTAGACATAGAATTTTCAAAGTAGGGTAGTCTTTTTTAAAAGTATAAACGTTATATGTATGTAATAAGAAAGAGATAAAAATCTCTTTTTTCAAAAAATAGGAAAAAAAAAAGAGAATCATGAAGAGGGAGAGAGGGGAAATTTGTGACGTAATTTAAAGACTTTCTTTTTCCAAATTGAAACGAGGAAAAAGAAAAGCGTCACCAACTGAAAAGCTATCATTTCAATCTGACCTCTACGAGATTTTTCAACCGTTTTATATATACATGTTTATGTGTGTATGTAGCGAAAAAAAGTCTTTTTGTCCCCGTAGAAATGTCACATGAGTCAGGGTCACGTCGACAAGACATTAAAAAAAACGTTAGGAGATGCGTGCACGGTGCATATATTCAGTGAATTATGCAAGTTCCGTGGAAGCGCGATCGTATCATACCGATCTTCGGCAGTTTTCTTCCAAATGCAAATGAATCACGTGGTGAAAAGTCGAATGCAGAGTGTAATGGTACGTGTTTCGAAGTATATTATTTTGTGCTTGAGTTTTTTTTTTTCTTATTTTCTTCTTCTTCTTATTCGTTTTGGGGGCGTCGTCGGACTCCGAAATTATTTCGATCTTTGACAGTCGGCCGGGTGGATCTTTGTTCGTTTTTTTTTTTTTTTTTTCGAGAAGTTTCTTATTCAAAATGGCTCTTGGCGCGAATGAATGGAACTTGAGGACCATATATGCCTCTATGATAAAAATAAATGTCGCGATGCGAGTTTAAATATTACATGAGAACGTTTTTTTAACAATACCCATTGGGAAGAAAAATTTCTCAAACGTCGAGTTTTTAAACTAAAAATATATTTATACAGATTGATGAAAAGAGGTGGGAATATATATGCCTCAGTCTCAATATTTCTTGTTAGGAAAAAAGAGAGACGCGCGTTTCAGTATCAAACAAGAATTTCTTCCGTCTACACATGATATTAATTTTTAATCATTAAAAAAAAAAGTGGATTTATTTTATTTAAAGCTTTTTTTTTCTTTCTCTTTTATATTACAGTCGATGGCCATTTAAGGAACAGGACCAGGTTGTGATTAAGGAATCGGTCTCACCGATAAATCAAAATTTAATTTTAAACAACGAAAACTCAACGGATTCACAATTGAGTTTGGGAAAATATTTTTTAAATTGGATGCCATTTAGTCCTGATAATATTGTGATTGTCATTCTATTGGCGGCGTTGGCAATAAAATTTGTCTTTTTTGAAGATAGGGGTGATATTGCGAAACAATTGAAATTGAAGGAGGAGAGCGCAGACGCGCAAAAAACCGTTACTGAGGAAGGAACGGTGATGAAAAGTATGCATGCAACTGCCGCGAATTTGGAGTCACAAACGAGGCGTCGATTTGAATCCGCAATGCCCACAATGCACTCGACTATTTTTCCTCTTTCTGGAATGGGTGGCGATTGGATTGAAGTTGTTGATGATGAGGAATCATATGTGAAACTCAGCGACAAAGAAGTGCAAACTGATGATATTCAACTTGTTGGTTCATCAAGCGATGTCAATAAAGATGTTGTTCCAAAAATTCCTCGAACCTTAGGAGAGTGTCTCACCATTTATAGATCAGAGGTAAGAACATTTCTGTTTAAATATATTTTTGTATTTTATCAATTTTTCTAATTTATATATTTTTAAATATTAAAAAAAATCTTAATTATTTTTTAAACAAAAAATTTGTTACAATAGTTTTTTTTTTTTTGTTGTTGATTAAAAATTTTTCAACAAATTTAGCAATAATTGGAAGAAAATTCGTAAATAAAATAAAAGTTTTCAAAAGAAATAAATTCTTTGAGAATAAATTAGATCTAAAAATGGAAATTATGAATGCTGATTTGACAATACCATAGAACGAATGTATAGAAACATGAGTTGTTCTATTTTTTGGATTTTCTCGAGAGAAATAAAAAAAAAATAAATAAGAATGTACTGTCTAATTTGAATATCTTGAACATAAATCTAGCGAATTGTGGCAATGGCATTGAAAATTAATGACATAAAATAAACTGAGAAAAAATACGAAACAAAATTACGATGATTTAGTATCTAATGAAAGTGAATTTTTAAATTCTGTTTGAAAGTCACGTACGCAAGTTCGATAGTCTTAGAAATTTGAATAATAATAAATTGATATTATCACAAGAGAATTTAGTATTTGAAATTTTATAAGTTTTTTATATATTTCTTTTTTTTTAATTATTTCATAAATTTTCGATGATACTAAAAAATTTGAATCATGTAATTTTAACTTATTTCTCTATTCAGAATTAAAATGAACAAAAGTTGATAATGTATGTTGATAACTTAAAAAAAAATTTTTTTTATAATTATACTACCAAATTTGTTAGAAAATAGATTAAAGCTTGCGTGGCTTATAAATATCCAAATGAACGATTTTAATAATGGAAAATTTAATTTTAATTAAATTAATAGAAAATTTCATCGATTTTTTATAAACAAAAAAAAACATATAAAGTGAATAATTAAATGTAACTGGCAGTTTATTTTATTTATTAATTTTGTTTGTAACTTAATTGATTAATTTTCTTAATGTAAAATACAAATTAAATAATTAGATTGTTAGTTATTTGATTAATTTGAATTATTATTTTTGAATTTCAGTTGGGAGCCGATGCACTGACGGACAGTGAAGTAATTGATCTCGTGAAACATAAATATATTCAATCGTATCAATTAGAAAAGGCCGTTGGCAATATGGAGCGAGGAGTTGGAATTCGTCGCAATATGCTTGAGGATATTGGTAATTTTTCCGAGAATCTCGATGAATTACCATATAAAAGTTATGATTACAGTAAAGTCCTTGGCTCATGTTGTGAGAATGTCATTGGCTATGTACCTGTTCCGGTTGGTGTTGCCGGTCCCCTTAAGGTTGATGGTGAATTTATTCACGTACCAATGGCAACAACTGAAGGTTGTCTTGTTGCATCGACAAATCGTGGTAGTCGTGCTCTTATAAATTGTGGTGTAACAAGTCGTGTTGTAGCCGATGGTATGACAAGGGGACCAGTTGTTAGATTTCCAAATGTTGTACGCGCAAGCGAAGCAATGGTTTGGATGCAAATAACAGAGAATTTCAATTCAATGAAAGCGAGTTTCGATACTACTAGTCGATTTGCAAGATTATCAAAAATTCACATTCGAATTGCCGGTAGACATTTGTTTATTAGATTTGTGGCAAAAACTGGCGATGCAATGGGAATGAATATGTTGTCAAAGGGTACGGAAAAATCACTTCACACAGTACAGGAACAATTTCCCGATATGGAAGTATTATCGTTGAGTGGTAATTTTTGTACTGATAAAAAACCAGCGGCTGTTAATTGGATTGAAGGACGTGGAAAAAGCGTTGTTTGTGAGGCTATTGTACCGGCGAATATTGTCACAACAGTTTTAAAAACAACAGTGCCAAGTATTGTGGACGCGAATATTAGTAAAAATATGATTGGTTCGGCGGTAGCTGGTAGTATTGGAGGTTTTAATGCACATGCTGCAAATATTGTAACGGCAATATTTATTGCGACTGGACAGGATCCAGCGCAAAATGTTGCGAGTAGTAATTGTATGACATTAATGGAACCATGGGGACCAGATGGTACGGATCTTTATATTTCTTGTACAATGCCAAGTATTGAAGTTGGTACTATTGGTGGTGGAACGGGACTTCCGGCTCAAGGTGCTTGTTTGGCAATGTTGGGCGTAAAAGGTGCAAATTCCGATGATCCTGGACAAAATTCAAGTAAATTGGCGAGAATTGTTTGCGCGACAGTTTTGGCAGGTGAACTCTCGCTAATGGCAGCTCTCACTGCTGGACATTTAGTTAAAAGTCACCTCAGACACAATAGGTGAGACATAAATTTTATTTTTTATTTTAACTTGCAGAATTACAAAATTAAAAATTCATAAGTTTTTGTTGAGAAACAAAAATGCTTTTGGCTAAAAAAAAAATTTTCCCTTCAGGTCGTCAACGACAATAGGAAATCCAGTACCGGTAACACGAAGCGATGCTTCAGGAAATTTGTCAGTTGCCAGTGTCCTTCCATCGCTTCAGGCAATGTGTAAAGACTCGAATCGATCGTAGTATTAGTTATAAACATTAATGAATCCGTCACTATTTTTTTCGAGGATTGAGAAAAAAAAACCCCCTCTTTTTTTTAAGTGGAGAAAAAAATCAAACAGAAACAAGAGGGGAGAAAATAAAGTCAAAATCCTTGAGAAAGATTTTTTTAATTAATAACTTAGAAAATAATTAAATTGGGCTTTGTCTGATTTACTTTCAGATTTTGTAATTTAATTTCTAACGGAAGAGAATAGAAAGAGAATTCTTTTTTCTTAACACATTATAAATATTGTACAAATGGATTGCTTAAATGAATATAGTTTTAATAATTAAAGTTAAATAATTGTAATTAGCGTACGAGAAGAAAAAAAAAACAGTTCTTTTTTTTTCTTCGAATACATAAATAGGTTTAGGTTTCTTTTAATCGGAAATAAATGCAAGTAACCCTTTCTGCGGATACAATTCTTAACAAAAAATTTTTTTTTATTACCTAGAAAATGTAAAAGATTTTTTTTTTGCTTTCTTTTTATATTATTGACAAAAAAATACTGCCTAAAGTATCGTGCCAAAGACGGAAAGGGTTCATTAATTGCAATTGACAATAAACACTTTACAATTTCTCATTAATGTAATAGAAAAATTGCATAAATTTGAAATATCACTTTTACAAATATTAAATACGTAAAAAAAAGTTTGTGTATTTAAAATGTAAGTTGAATCAGTCACAAAATTTACATTATATTAAAATGTAAGACAATTTATATATTGATTTGAAATATAAAATTTTTTTTTTTATCGATTTTTAATGCAAGAAAAATTACATTAATTTTAAAAATGTAAAAAAAATGAGTTACGGATTAACTTTAAAGTAATAATTAAAATTTTATTCGAAAAATTTTTTTTTTATCAGCAATCACGTGAAACAAATTAAAAATTCGTAGAATTTATCTGCATGATTCAGGATTTATTTATTATTGAAATATTCAAAATTAATTCAATTTATTCAGAATAAAGAAAATATTCTTTAAAAAATATAACATTAAACTGGAAAAATATCATTGACCATATAACAGAATAGTCAATTTTGACGTTAACAATGAGTAAAAGAAAAAAGTCTGATTTTCATCGATGAGAAAAAAATAATTTCATATTCCTCTAAGTAATTATTATAATTTATTTTTTACATTTTTTTAGTAATGAAATTCCAAATTTATTGACGATTTCTTTTCTTTGCGTTTATATGCATAATATTATTTTAATAGGTATAATTTACTGTTACAAAGATTTGAAAAAAAAATCTTTTTATCACATTGTACATAATAGATTAGGAATAGGATTTTATTTGTAAATTTTTTTGTTATAGACATTAAATAGCGAATAGAGATAAAATGAAAATGCAGCTGAATTGCAAATATAGAAATGAATAAAAATGCGCAATTTAAAATGCAAATATTGTTAAATCCGATTTTAAGAGTTTCATTGATACTTGAATTAGTTTTTAAGCAATAAAATATTTGTCGAGTTTTCATTGTTCCTTGGATTTAACAACATTAAAGCGCCATAAAGAGAGTGAAGTGAAGATTTTATAAAGTAAGATTTGGAAGAGTACCTGCCAAAGGAACATTTTTTTTGTAAATTATTTAAAAAAAAAAAAAAAAGATGTTAATGCATAATTCTAATAATAGTTTTCTTCAGTTAATAAATTTTATGATAAGTTATTTTTCGCGACGTAGATTTTAATTATATCAATGTTATAACAATTCTACAACAAATTTTTAAAATGCATTTTTGGGAATTATTGAAACATTCATCAAATTATGAATAAATGGAATAATTTAACATGTCTTTCTTCTATTTATTTTTGGTTGTAAAATAAGTTAGTTTAAATTGAATAGATTTTTTCTTTAAATTAAACAATTTAATTTTTTAATGCAAAAAAATATATACTTTATTGAAGCATAAAAATATACAAGAATTGAGCGAGTATAATAAATTTTTTTTAATTATTTTAATTCTAAATAAATTATAATACTTGTAAAAAGAGTTAAAGGATCCTCATTTTTTTTTATCAATACTATTGGAGCCTAATTACATTTTTTCGTAAGTATTTTCATAACCACAGGTAGTGCAAGTTCGTGTATAAGTATCTTCATCTTCATCATAAGATTCTGGACCGAATTTATGTACATGAGAACCTTTTTGAGTTTTATCATACAATGAACTTCTCACTTCCATTCTCAATTGTTTAATCTGAAATATTTCACAGTTTTTATATTTCATTGAATTTCAATTTTCTATTATAATAATTAAATTAGTTAATTAATGTTATTAATCTGTTTAATTAATAGTTATTAAAAATTTATTACCTTTTTATTGAACTTCTTGATTTTCGATCCTTCTCGTTTCTCATCTCGTACTTCACGTTCGGTCATTAAATTTTCTTCAGAGCCCCACACTTCCAGTGCACGTTTTTCTATTTGAAGTTGTAAATATAATTTCATTTCACCCCAACGTGGATTATGTGGATTTTTTCTAACAATATATTTTAAAGTCGGTTCTCTTTTATCTAAATCGCAATCTTTCAAGAGATATTCTGCCTTTGCCTCAGTTCTTGTGATCAATGAATGCTTTCCATCATTGTCCCTAAAAAAGAAATAAAAAAAAATTGAAAATATTACCTTTGTTTTTAATTTATATTTCTATTTAAAGTCTTACCGGCAAATATTACAAACTGGATAATCAAATTTTTGCAACATAAATGAATCTTTAAATTCTTTTTTACATTCCTCGCAAATAGGTAAATCACTGACAATTGGAGCAGGAATGTCTACAAGTTTTATCTATAAAGCAAAGGAAAAAAAGTTAATATACTAACTCTGAGAAAGAAACAGAAAAATTAAAATAAAATTAATGATTTTTCATTACAAGCTCATTTTCTAATTCATCGTTTTCTTCAATTAGAAAACCAGCTCCACTGTCAATAACACGTTGACCTTGAAGTTTAACAACTTTTCCCACTGAAGCCTCAGAATTCTCACTGAAAAATTAATAAAATTTAATTAACATTCTGCTTTATTTAAAAATTATAGATCATTTTGCATTATCTACACTTTAAATTAATTACATTATTGTGTTCTACAACTTAAAAATAGAACAAAGGAAGTTAAATCATAAAGATGAAGAACAATAGAAAATAACAATTAAATCATGACAGAAAAAAACACTTACACTTTTGCATATGGATGAGTGACAACTTTGGATTTTTTAAGAAGCAGAGCTTTTTGTCGATTTCTCTCTGCTCTTTTGGCATATTCCTCAGGAAGATCGTTTTCCTGGAGATCACTACTTTCGAGGTTAGGTTCCATTGTTGTCATGAATTTATAAACTAGATATTCAATTTATAAACTATAATAATCAAACACAAATATAGTATAAAGTATAACAATAATTCCTCATTATGAAAAATTTATTTAGAATGACGATTAATTATATTTATATACTTAAAATCTTAAAAATTATACAAAATTTGACGTTCTGTCAACAAATATCAAAACAACTGTTCTGAAGTTGGCTTTTTTTCAAATGATACTATTGGATGATTATTGGTTTAACGCTAGTGGCGCAGAAATTTAAAAATTAATCAGTATTATTTTTTAAATTTTAATATTTTAGTGTCATATAATAAAATTATCATACTTGGTATAAATAAAATTAAAATATTAAATATTTTACATAAATTAGTAAAAATAATACATTAGTAATTTGTTTAAATAATCCAGAATGACGTAAAATAACATTAAAAGGTGACTTCACGTGTTTCTTAACTCTTTAAATTATATTCATTTTATAGAAAAGAAATAATCAAGAATTAAATGATTTTCTATTTTCTTGACTCTTATAAAGTGAAAATTATGTTTTACAAGATTTTTATTAAAGTGTTTAAGAATATTTTTCTAGAAATACATTTGAAGTGACCTGCGGGTTAATTGACGTTTGACTCCCTCTGTCGGAGCGAATCGTGTAAAAACATGACCAAAGTGTAGAAATAATTGATTTCTTGTTTCGAATTGCAGCAAGCAAAACAGTGATGTAAAATTGTGATTGTAAATTATTTTAAAAAATTTGGATTTAAAGCCTTATTGGTTTTTTTGTGTGTCGCGACGTTGAAACAACTTTATCCTCATCCACGGGTTCTTTTTGGTGTCGATTCTATTTTTGTACGCTGCTTCGCTCAAAATTTTACGATAACTCCCAGTGAAAAAAAAAATGACTGATAATTCAGGTCAGGATGAGAGGGATTTCTATTGAATCGATTACATTCTACGTTTAGAAACACAATTGACATGTCATGTATCATCATCGAGCGTCAAACGCAAGATCAACATGCCTTCTCCAGGGCAAATATTCCAGTGCCTCCGGACGCTTATTTGACTTTAAAAACAACATTTTCCATCGAAGGATCACAAGAGTCCTCGAAACATCATCAAGAATCTTTAGTATCTCATCGACGACCTGAAGATAGTGAGAGTTTTTTGAAAAAAATTGAGAATCTATTACTTTTTTTACAAAATTTAAATAAAAAATTTGATGAATTTTCAATATCAAAAAATATCAAATTTGATTCTAATTCATCATTTGTCAAAATTGAAGAAAATTGTTCACGTATTTCAGATATGGATTTACATATTATTAATGTAGGCACAGGTGCTCCGATTTTAACAGGTGACAATATTTGCGATATTTGTAGACGAAAAACGATAAATTTTGACAAATCTAATAATTTAAATTGTTTAATGAAAAAAAATAATTTATTAAATGAGCCGAATTTGTGTGAAACTTGTGCAACTGTTATTATTAGTGATAAATGGAAGAGTTCTCATAATATTATCACTGAGGACAGAATGAAAGAGACATCAAATAATAATAATAATAATAATATTCCAAAAAGTTTTTTATCCAGCGTTTATGTCGCTGTTACTTTAATAGCCAATTTTTTAGCGGTCATAACAATAAATAATAAGAAATCAGAGAAGCTCAAAAGAAATATTGAAAATGCTGCACCATTAGCAAGACTATCAGTGTTATTCACTGTGATGTTTATCTTTCACATTTTACCACTGACTTCTGCTGATAAACCACTTGGAAATCCTTATGAAATTTTAGGAGTCAAAAGGCATGCCGCTTTACAGGATATTAGAAAGGCTTATAAAAATCTTGTGAAAGAATGGTAAGTTTAATTTTAAAAATCGTTTTATTATGATTTACTATTTTTAATGTTTTTTGTATTTTAGGCATCCTGATAAGACTGATCACCCGGAAGCTGAAACGAAATTTGTCGAAATCACCAAAGCTTATGAGGTAAACGAATTTTTCGATTTAGTTTTTGGGAATATGAATTTCATCGTACGAGTATAACTGAAAAAAAAAAATTTATTCTTAGCTTCTCTCCGATCCTGAAAGAAGAAGAAAGTTCGATATCCATGGAATAACGGAAGAAAGTGTTCCCAGATATAGAAGAGATAGTCATCAAAATATGCCAGATCCTTTGGAGGATTTATTTTCTGGAAATTTTAAATTTCATTATCAAAGCAGAGACATCACATTGTTTCATAAAATGAGCATCACATATCGGTAAAGATTTTTAAATCAAATTCATTGCTAATTTTCTCTTTTTCTATTTTTATGAAATAATAAATTTTCAATTTTTTTTTTTAGAGCATTTGAGAAAAATGTAATACCAAAAAGTTATCGAACTCCGCATTTACTACTCTTCTATTCGGATTGGTGTTTCGCGTGTCTACAAGTTGAACCTACTTGGCGACGATTAATGGATGAATTAGAACCACTTGGTGTTGGTTTATTCACCGTTCACGCTGAAAGAGAAACAGCTCTTGCAAGAAAAATTGGTGTTCATTCCTTGCCATGTCTTGCCGTTACTGTTGAAGGACGAACCAGCATTTACAAAGAATCTTTATATAGTGTTCAAAAAATTGTTGGCAAGTATTTTTTTTTTGTATAAGTTTTAAATAATCTACTGAGAGTTGAAAGAAAATCATTTTTTTTTTTTTCCAGAATTCTTGAGAAAAATATTCCCGTACAAATTGATTGCCGATGTGAATAAAGACAATTTAAATCAATTTCTCTCGGGATGGATGGACAATCGAATTCGTGCTTTAATATTTGAGAGAAGAGATGTGGCACGTTTGCGTTATCTTTTGGTTGCTTATCATCATCGTGATCGTGTTGCCTTTGGTTTTGTTCAAGTGGGCAAAACAGAGACTCACAATATTACGGGAAAATATAAAATAACTGGCGATTTAGATACATTATTATTGTTTAATGAAAATATTGAGAAACCAATGGCATCGATTAGTATGAAGGATATACCAAGTGATACAATGCACAATGTTATTGCGAGTAATAAATTTCTCACATTACCAAGACTCTCGAATCAAGCAATGTTGGATTCTGTATGTCCACCTGAATGGCTACGTCCACAAAAACGTCTTTGCGCTGTTTTAATTTCACAAAATAGTCCCGTTCATGATTTTGCAAGACTTAAATTTCGTCAAGCTGCTCATGAATCGCCTTACAGGTAATTTTTATTCATTTAATTATATTAAGTTGCTTTTTTTCCATTTAAAATAAAATTTTATTTTTATTTTATAGCACGGAACGTGTTAGGTATACGTATGTTTTTAAAGAAGCGCAACCGGAATTTGTTTCGGCTCTTTTAAATGGCGAAGGCAGTCCCATGGATCCTTTGTTGCATATTGTCATTATTTGGCGACGAGATGCAAATAATTTAAAATACGAATGGTTACCAAATGGATGGATTGATGGAAATCAAAATGAGGATCGCTGGAATGAATCGCGACAGAATTTGGAAAAAACAATACAAAAATTATTACGAACATCGGAAGCATTGCCTTATGCAGCAGAAGTTGGGGAATTAGCCGATGAACATGCGCTGGTAAAATTTTGTATTATTTAAAAATAATTAAAAATTAGAAAATTTTTTTAAAATTCTTATTGAATAATTTTGTTTTTAGGGCACTGTGGATAGATTAATAGGCCGAGCATTATTGGCAGTAGATTTTATATCTGAGAGTTTTAAAAAGGAGGAAATTTTACCTGTTATCTCGGTTCTATTTACCATTGTATTAATTGGAGCCGTGGGTTATGGAATGTCGTATTTAATGTAATTTTTATTAATTTTAATTTTTGCAATTCTTAATATTCTGAAATTGATATTATATATGAAATTTTTTTTTTTTTTGTAGTAAATTGGAAGAAGCGAGTGTTGAGGCAAATCGAAATCATTACAAAGGAAATACAAAAGTACTATCGTCACAACCACAATTGAGATTACATGAATTACGAGCCGAGAAATATAATGGTCTCGTGAGACTTTTAAAGCCAGGATGTCGAACTGTCATTTTATTAGTCGACACACAAAGTAGATTAAAATTGTTACCTGCTTTTCATAAAGCTGTATGGCCTTATAGGTAAGTTTTTATTTAATAAAAAAAAAAATATTAATTCTATTTAAATATTTCTTTTATTTATTTTCAGAAAAAATAAAACACTGATGTTTGGTCATTTAAATCTCGAGCGGGGGCTCGAATGGTATAAAGATTTATTATTGTTGAGTCTTCCGGAACCGAGAGATTTGAAAATAAATCCAAAAAATTGTATAGGAACTGTTTTGTCATTAAATGGACACCGAAGATACTTTTGTATGTATCATGCAAAACATCCTGAGAGTAGTAAAGGCAAAGGATCCAAGGTGAATTAATTTTCAATGTTATTTATTTTTTATATTTGTAAACAAAAATTTAAACAATTAATTTTTAATACAGCGAATGGAGAGAATGGCCAAACGGCTAACTCAAAGAACTGAGGATGCTGAGGCAGGAGCATTTATTGGATTCGATAGTTCCAATGAATCAGATTTATCACAGGACGAGGTGAGAATATGTTTTATCTTAATTCTTATTAATTTAACATTCAGTTATTGTTTTAAATTAAATATTAAATATTAAAAAATTGAAAAAAAACAAAAAATTCGTAGTCGGAAAACAGTATTCTGTATCAAGAGAAACTTTTGGATGGACTGCCAAACTGGCTTGATAGATTATTCGAAGGATCGACACACCGCTACTACATAAATTATTGGCCAGACTTCACTGCCAAGTAATGAAGAGGCTCGCCAATATTTTTAATGCCTTTTAAACGGAAATAATCCATTTTAATTAATTCTAGTCTGCGAGTTATATTACGTGCTAGGATATATATATATATATAATTTGTTGAAAAGACGGATTGAGCCTCGCATAAAGACACGATTACAGTGATTATATTTGTCATATGTTATTTAGTGTTCATAAATGTAATTAAAGTCTCCCGTTTCTTCATGTTTGGCTGATTTTCACTACTATTAACGAGCCGACGTACCAAAGATAATAATATTTAAACAATCACTATAGATTAAAAAAAAAAAGATGAAAATGAAAAACGTTTCCAATTCTTTGACATTTGAACGTCGAAAAAAAAGTATATTACTACTGCTATATATAGTGAAGAAAACTTCCCTTATTATGTGTTCTTCTTGCTACAAAACAAAGGAAAAAAAAAGTATATATATATTCAGTGCTGCTAGTCATTATAATTAATTCTCCTTCTTTTAATGAATTTCCATTGATAATTAACGCAATTTATATACACTGCATGTTACAAATATTTGTAAATATTACAATACACATTGAATAGTTGAGAAATTACATGACGGTAATTTTTTTTTCTACTATTAACGAAAATTACAGTAGTTTTTAAAATTAATTAATTTAATTAAGAGAAATTATGGTAATTTTTCTAAAGAAATGAGAAAAATATCTACTTTCTTTCTCTTTATCAAAGATTAATTAGTGTAAACATTTGGAAACGAGGGAAAGTATTTATTGACACAATTTTACAGACGCACTTTTTTTTTTTAATTCTAATATATATAATTATAGTAATATTACTATTAAGCAGACTGCAGTAAATTTCATTGAACAATTGTGTTGTTGAAATTGTTAAGTTTATTAACTTTTAATTAATTTTTTAATTTTTCCTTCCGTGTCTTGTAAAATTATTCGTCGGCTCAAATTTGACATAGATGAAAAATGTTTGCTTTTCTTATTATTTGTAAAAGTACATTTCAAGTAGACGAACAACAATATAAGGTTACAATTATTTTTCATTTAATTTTTAGAGTTAAATATTTTCTTCTACTTGAAGTCAACTTACTATTGACAATTTATATTTCAATAATCTAAAAAATCATATCTCAGCTTTTATCAAAAATTGCTTTTGATACAGGAACAAAATATTACGAGCTATTTAGCATAAGGCGTCTTAAAAAAAATCATATTATACAACTTTATCGAAAATTTTAACAACTACTTTTTTTTTACTTCATTTGAAAATACAATTTCAAACTCTTCCTTTTAATAAAAAAAAAAAAAAATTAAAATAGTTTTTTGCTAAAAATTAAATAATCTACAAGTTTTTGCCTATCTTGAAATGTGAATTTAATTTTAAATAAAAAAATTAATTCAAAATTTAATAATTAAATGAAAAGAAAATAATGATAATTAAAATTTAATCAAAATAAAAATTAAATTTTATTTACATGACAAGAGGAGCCAGAACTTAAAATTCATACTTTTTAATATATTTCTGAATAGAAAAAGAAAAGAAAATAAATCCCGCTTTAGTGTGATAACTCCTCTATAATAATTAATCAAAAGCAATTATTCATTAAAAGGAGAATAGTATAATAATAATTATAGTTGAAAAGCGAAAATTTATTATAAATATCTTCGAAACAAAAAGCAGAATTTTTCCAAAATCTCCAAAAAAAAAGACTTTTTTTTGACAATCTTTGCTATGTAATGTTATTAATTGGGAAAAAATATTGTTCACATCTCTCGCATTAACAGATTGTCTAATTTTTCTCTCGCGAATCCCCCATTCCACTCGTTATATACTGTTATAAATAATTATCTACTCAAAAATGCGAAATAGTAAAGAAAGTTATTAAAAAAAAAAAAAATATTGTACCGTTAAATGTTATTTACTAAAAAAAAATGAAGAAAAAAAATTGGGAACACGATATTTATACGACCAATGAATTTGGTGCAATTTTTACTATATAATATGTAATATCGCTTACAATAACGATTTTTAACATTTTATTATCAATTGTTTTCTTTCTCGTTTTATATTATTGTAAATCAATTTGTAAAAAAAATTGTTGATTATAATATTACATTAAATTATTTTGTAATTAATTTAATTATTCACTTAATTGGCGATTAATTCAATTAATTACTGAATTATTTAAATAATTTGATTTTAAATTAAATGAAATTAATTTTAAACAAAAATTTTGTGGGATAAAAGGAACATTTTTAATGAAAGATGCAAAAATTTCAATTTTTATTATTAGTAATAATTATTTTCAACACTTTTTAATTGTTGTTTTTTTTAAAAAAGAAAATGTATAATTAAAATTTTGTGAATAGTTTTTACAATCTGATAATTTATTTTAATATAAATTATCATCGACAATGTCTGTGCACACAAAAGAGAAATCACGTGATTACTTTTTTAAGTCTGAGTGTTTCCATATGTATAAACAGTTTAGCTTGAAAGCTCGCTTGATAAATAAATCTTCCTTTGATTAGAATATAATTAATAAGTCGTTGAAAAAAAACTATGTTTCTGCTATGCTGATTCATTGTGCGTATTTTGATTTTTTTTTGTTTTTTTTTTTTTTTGGTCGAAGAAAAAAATTATAGGAATCCTGGTAGCGATGGCTGTACACTATAAGTCACACTGACTTTATATAATAAATATTGTTTGTATATTATATAATATTTATTATGTAATAAATATTGTAATATGAATATTAAATAAATTATTACTGATTATTGACAAATCAAGTAATATATAAGTGAAATAAAAATTGTTTTATTTTTCTAAACAAAAATTATAAATGTTTTAAAAATATTAATATTTTATTAATATAATTTATTTTATATAAATTATTATTATTATTATTATACTTTATTTAAAGTATATTACTACACTATATTTATTAATATAATTTTAAATTTGAAAAAATTGATTTTTTTTTAATTCAAAAAGAGCGCGTCTTGGCAATCACTCAAGCTCGTAACTGATTTATAAATTTATTGATTGTTTATATAAAATGTAAATTTTTAAACAATATAATAATCACATCCAGCAATTTTTAGTTAATATTTTGTAAATAATAAATAAATTTTATTGTTTTTAGATAATTACTTATAAAATTATAATTAATTAAAAAGTAATTTTTTGACTCACGTATTAAAAGAAATGGGTGTCGTCGCTTCGCGCCTCTTCGGCAACAATCGGCACCGGTCGATAGTGTTCTTTACAAGTTCTTACTTCTTGGTTATTTTACTCACAGTGATTTTAGGCTTTTCTTTATGGAATTTTCAAACTTTATTTTATAAAAAAAAATCATGAGTAAGTATTTTATTATTGAGAATAAATAAGAGGTTTTATATTTTCTAAAGTAACATATTAATAGTGAAGTTTTTCTGTCCTAATTTTTCGGCACATATTCTCTGAAGATCGATTTTAACCAGTTGGAGACGTATTACTCTCAGAAATGTCATTAAAAAGGGGCGTTTCAGATTGACGCTTCAATTGCCTAATTACGAAATAAATCAACAATCAAGTGATAATTATTATTTCAAAAATTGATTAATTCATTCCTTATGCAAAAATTTCGTGTTCTAACATTTTTCTCTGTTTTATTGATTTTCGACCACTGTGTGTTGTATATATGTCGGTGAAATAAAAATAGATTTAAGATGTTTCAATGACAAAAAAAAAAATTCTATAACACTTTTAATAATTATTTACAAATTTTTTAATATACATTAATTGAATATTTGAAAAAAATTTCAATTTTTAATATTTAGATTTTAATTGAATTTTAATTATTTTCAGAAGTGGAATAGTAAAGAAAATTTTATTTAGATAATCTTCTATCAAAAATGATAGGGGGTTTATTTGTCTATAATCACAAGGGAGAAGTTCTCATCTCCCGTGTGTATCGCGATGACATTGGACGTAATGCCGTTGATGCTTTTCGTGTAAATGTCATTCATGCACGTCAACAAGTTCGTTCGCCGGTGACAAATATTGCTAGAACATCATTCTTTCATATAAAACGTGCAAATATTTGGTTAGCCGCAGTCACAAAGCAAAATGTTAACGCTGCAATGGTTTTTGAATTTTTACTTAAAATTATTGAAGTCATGCAATCTTATTTTGGCAAAATATCCGAGGAGAATATTAAGAATAATTTTGTGCTGATTTATGAATTACTCGATGGTAATGTATCATTTTTTTTTATAATCTGTGAAAACATTTAAAAATTATAAATTTTGGACAATAATAATATTAATTTGTTAAATTTTCAATTCGACAGAAATCTTGGACTTTGGCTATCCGCAGAATTGCGATACTGGTGTGTTAAAAACATTTATAACACAACAGGGAGTAAAGTCAGCGACAAAGGAAGAACAAGCGCAAATAACGTCGCAAGTCACAGGACAAATTGGATGGAGAAGAGAAGGAATTAAATATCGTCGAAACGAACTGTTCTTAGATGTATTGGAATATGTGAATCTCTTGATGAGTCCTCAAGGCCAAGTTTTGAGTGCTCATGTTGCTGGAAAGGTATATTTTTTTTTCATTTTCATTTTAACTTTTAGTTATATTATTTGGTAATTTTTTTAAAATTTTATTAAATAATTAATATTTTTCACTTTCGATAGGTTGTCATGAAATCATATCTTTCTGGTATGCCCGAGTGTAAATTTGGAATTAATGATAAAATAGTGATGGACACTAAGGGAATGAAGGGAGTGGGTGGAATTTGCTGTGGTAATGAAGAAGCATCTAGTTCTCGCTCTGGTAAACCTGTGGTCGTAATAGACGATTGCCAGTTCCATCAATGCGTCAAGCTCTCGAAATTTGAGACCGAACATTCCATTAGCTTTATACCTCCTGATGGAGAATTTGAATTGATGAGGTAAGATTTCGTAATTAAATTTTTTATTTATTTCTTTAACTATTAATTAAATAATAATAATAATATTTTGCAGATATCGCACAACGAAAGATATTTCACTGCCATTCCGTGTTATTCCATTGGTACGTGAGGTGGGACGCACCAAAATGGAAGTAAAGGCAGTATTAAAATCAAATTTTAAACCCTCATTATTAGGACAAAAAATTGAGGTACGAATTCCAACGCCATTAAATACAGCCGGTGTGCAATTGATTTGCATGAAGGGAAAGGCTAAATATAAAGCATCAGAGAATGCAATTGTTTGGAAAATTAAGAGAATTGCCGGAATGAAGGAAACTCAATTGTCAGCTGAAATTGATTTACTTGAGACGGACACAAAACGAAAATGGACACGTCCGCCTATTTCAATGAATTTCGAGGTACCATTTGCACCATCAGGATTCAAAGTACGATATTTAAAAGTATTTGAATCGAAACTAAATTATTCCGATCACGATGTAATTAAATGGGTTCGATATATTGGACGAAGTGGTCTTTATGAAACTCGATGCTAATAATACTCCAGATTGTTAATTGAATATATATAAAAAAAAATGAAACTACTCTGAATTGCACATATGATCATTAATGGTATATACATATATAATGGGTTCGAGACAATTTTTTTCTGTCTTAATCGGTTCAAGACAAGCATACTTTAATTATTATTATTATTATGAACTTTTACAACCATTGATTCCAAAAAAGGAGGAAAAAAATTAGTGAATGAAAATAAGTGTATAAATGAAGTTGGTTTTGAACTTGGTGCGTACATATATGTTCCTTGTTCGAAAAACAGAATATCAAGTAGACAGAATTTACAAATCATGATTATAATAAAAAATATATATATTATATATTATATATTTAGAAGGACCTATGTATATTAAAATTATACCTTCAAAATGAAATTAAATATTTCAAATCTTTTTTTTTTTTTTAATAATTATTATTTATGATGTTTCAAAGAAATTAGTGTATGCTTGACCATGACAATATTTTTAATTAAGAGTCCAATATGCTCCAATATTATTCATTTTACGAATTTTGTATAGCTTCTCAGTGAAATTAATTGGAAGAAAAAATTGTATTTTATTTTTTAAATAGCAATTTTATTCTCATGTATGAAAAAAAAGAAAATTGTAAGTATAAACGATTTCATGTGTTCAGTGAAACAAATAAAATGGCTGGAGTTGATCTTAAATTGTTCATTAAATTAATAATTTTATTGAAATTTTGTTATAATTATAAATAATATTAATTATTACATAAAATATTTTTTTTTAATATATAAAATATTTTACTAATTATTTTTATTATTAATCTACAGTAAATTTAAATTTTCAATAAATTAAATTAATAGTTTATTATTTAATTATAAAGAAATTTTTCAAAATGAGATTAAACAAAACAAACAATAAATCACTTTATTATTTTTTTTATTTGTTATTAAAAATAATTTAAATATTTAACTTTTTGAATTTTGTGTCGATAATGAAAACATAGGACTTACCGACAGAGGGGTAGCGCCTAACGATAGGCAACTTAATGTGAAAATTTAAATTTATTGTAACTGACGTGCTGTGGGGATTAGATTATCAGTTTATTTTGTTCAAAAGAAACAAATGTAGTTAATTATTAATTATTCTACTTGTTCAAGAAAGAGTAAACGATTAAAAGTGGTTATTTACAGTTTTAAATAAGTGAAAAGTGACGAAGATTATTTAAATTAGCTGCGATGCCGGTTCTATAAGTATATATAAAGAGGTTAAGTGTTCGTTTGATTTTGAAAAATCAATTGTAATTGATTTCTATTATTTAATTAATAAATTAATTTCATCTACTGCGAGTGAGTGAGTGCTGTGTCTATAATATCGTAGTTTTCTATGATTCCGAACGATATATTCTGCTATTATGCGCATGCGGCTGGCACTACAAAACCTGTGTATATGTCGAGTGTCTTGGTCGTGTTTTCTGGTGGATCTCGTCTGTCATGGATCGGGCGAACGTACACGGAATCTTAATATTTTCTATGTGAAAAACGGTATAAGTCATTCAACAAGTTTCTATATGAAAGTAATGTGCGTCCATGTCATAGTGAAGTGATGACAAACAGGCATTTCAAGTGTTCAATTTTTTGGAATCTTCATCTCAAAATGAGCCCGACCATTGTCAGCACGAGACCCAGGCCTTCTGTCAATCGAGGGAGAAATTCCGTGAGTACACACATATATTTTAAGATAAATTCTTTAGTTCATTTTATTTGATTTTCAATTTTCTAACCTCATTTATATTTGGGAGTGGTTCTAAATAATTCATGTAAATCAATTTGTATATTTATGTTAGTAAATTAATTGACAAAACATTCCCCACCCCTCTTATTCAATTTTTTTTGGGGGGATTTCCACTTTTGTGGAAAATAATTTAAATTGAGCTGAGAGAATATTCGTTGAATTTTTTTAATATTAGCTAATTAAAAATAATTTCTTATGGGTGTGTAAATGCATATATATGTATATATATATATTTTTAGCTGGGCTTTGAAGCATTTTCTAATTTAGGGATGAACAATTTTTGTTCGTGTGATAAAGTATTATAGTGACATGGATAGATGAGGGGTTGTAAGGGCGTTTTTAGGGGCTGATAAATTTAGGGGAAAAAAAAATCTTCGACAGAGGGTTTGGGAAAAAAAAAATGGATTACTTTTCAAGTAGAACGTGAGAGTAAACGAATGACGTGTATGTGAACGACCTTCTGTTTTTTGGTATACGATTTTCTTTTCTGTTTGTTTACTTTTTTAAGCGTGACTGAATATAATCCTAAAGATTCTTTTTTTATTCCCAAAAAAATTTAGTCCTCATGAATTCTTTTTGAATCCTTTTATTCTAGATATTAGACTATATATATATATATAAATTTATTAATTTATTATTTCAATTTTCAAATTACATTAACAAAAAAAAAAAATAAAATTAATCAGTAAAAATAATTTTGTTTCTTTGTATGAATATTCGATAAATTTTTTATATAATTTAAAAAATAATACTTTAGTGAATTTTTTATCTATTTATGACAATAAGTAAAAAAATAGGTTAAATGAAGAATGTCTGATAAGTGATAAAAATATTTCACGTATATACAATAAAAAGTTATAAAATAATTCAATTTTTTTTTTTTGAAAAGAAAGTATTAAAAAAAGAAGATTGAAAAACATTTAAAATTTATATACACTGATAATGTACCGTCAAAATAAATACTTTATCGAATGTTCATATAAGAATTTTTTATTAGATTGTGTCCCATTTAATATTCAGGGGCTAAAAGCATCTCTGACGTTATTTGCAAATGAAATGAATATTTCATATTCTCATGGACCTCTGATACTTGATATACAAATGTATTTACATTTAATGACTAATAAATTTTTAATCATAATAAATTGATCACAATATATATATATATATACTTTAATAATTTTGTATTTGAAAATATTATTTGTTTTAATTATCATGTTACACATACGATTTTCCATTATCGTTTTGCCATAATTTTTCTGAAGTAAAAAAAAAAATTCTTTTATCACTTTCGCACAAACATTAATAACACAGCTTTAACCACTGATAAGTCATTAATATCTAGTCTTAAAGGAGTTTTTATCTTTCATTCGAATTCTGAATCATTTACTTTTTACTAGAATATAAAAATGAAAAATTTGAAAAAAAATATATTGCGTTTTTTTTTTATTTTAGTTGAATTGATAGCGATAAAAAGTGAAATGCCTTAAATTATATGTGTATATAAAAGATGTTAATTTCAAGGTAAAGATTAATAATCTCATAAAAATGCACGACACATTTGTAAAAAAAATTTTGTCATATATACAAGTAACATTCAGAAGAAAAATTATGCAATTTTTTTTTCTTTATTTAAATTCAGTTTTTAATAAAAAAAAAAAAATATATATCGATTTGTTTTGAAAATGAATAAAAATAATATTATTACCTAAGTATAATTTTTTTTTAATTATATACTTTATTTGAGATATTAGAAATTTATTTACGAATACGATTATGTGTTTTTTTTTTCATGGGAATTAGTATAAAATTTTTTTTGGTAAAGTTTCTCTTTTGAATGTCATATATATATAGATATAAATATAAAGTTTCATGAAACGCGAAAAAGTCAGCTATAAGAGTCTTAAGCGTAAGCTGTTTGATCTAATATGTACTGAGAAGCCTAAAGAAACTCTTTCCCAGGTTAGGCCCGAGACATTCATAGCTTTGTGATAACGAAATTAAGAAACGAGAAAAAATAAGTCATTTTTACACGTGTTTTTTTTTTCGTCACGCGATTGTCCATATAGAAATAGATTATGTATAGATAAAAAGAAATTTAATTTAAATGTAATAATATATATCAAAAGAAAAAGATTTTTTCATAATAAATTTAGGGCGGCGATAAAAATATTAAGTATTTAATATAAAGGATTTTTATTTTCCCTGTAATTTCATTTTTACGTCATCATATTAAAAAAAAAAAAAATTATAGCTCATTTTTATTTTTTCCAAAAAGAAAATTAAAAAACCAAAATGAATATTTTTTGAAGAAACATAAAAAAATTTCGAATTTTTTTTTTCTCAAATATATTTGAGAGCCAAAAGTAATGAAGTTGAAAATATTTTGCAGAAAATAGTATTGAAATTTGAAAATTTAAAGAGATTATAATATACACACAGTCACATATAGTGAAGTCGCAAGTCAGAATATTTGTACCAAAATATCGAAGAGTATTTTCGTATGGAGAGCATGTGTAATTGTACTGTAATAAAACTTCTCTGTAAAACGGGTTTAATAATAGCAGCAGGTGTTAGGAAGACCAGGTCGAGGGTATGTCTTTACCTAATCTTATTAACTACAAATGAGAATTCATTTTCAAAATAAATCGATATTTCGATTTCTGACCCATTAAGTAATGAATGAAATCTGTATATATAACCCAGTAGTTTTAAAAAAAGAAACGAAAGAGTTAAAAAAAAAAAATTTCACATTGTTACAATAGAAAATTATTCATTGGAAAACAAACAAAAAATATTTTCAATCATAATTTTTTAGACAGAGATTTATTTTAAAAAATGTACAAAAAATTTTTTAGTAAATAATTTGTAGGAACAATTTTTTCTTTATTAAATCACGATTTTAAATATTTGTATTATTAATTACATATTTTATTATCGCGAAAATATAATTTACATCCGAAAAATGTTATCAATTATTTCAAGAATCCATTTGATATTGACTCACGTGCAAATGGGTTCATTGAATTCAAGATAGCGAGTTATTCTATTATTTACTTTGACAATATTTGAAGTTTGTTACATGAAATTGTCAACATAATGCATTAAATGAATGAGGTGATGACGATTAGAAAGATTAATGATGTTTGAAGTCAACTATGTTTGCTTGAAACTAACATTATAATTTGAATATAAATATATATTTTCATATAAATATAATTTCCATTTTTTTTTCGATATTATTATACAAATATTTGAAATAATTTATAAAGCTTGAAAATTTTTTCTAGAGTCAAAATTAATTCTGTTTTCTCGATTTCTTTGAATTTAAAATCTTCTCTCGATAATATACAAAATTATTAATTTATTAATTAATTTATTAATTAATTTATTAATTAATTTATTAATTAACTTATTTATTAATAAATTTTATAAACTAATTTCTTTCAATTTTATTTTTATATAGTAATTTTTTGGAGTAATAATTTTTTTTAAAAACTGTATTGGTCGAGCGTTAATGAAATAAATTTTTTAAGGAAATATAATTGACAATCTTAATCATCTATATTGATAATAATTACAAAAAGAATTTTTTATATAAACAAGAGAGGAATCTCTCTGTGAAATAAAAAAAATTTGAAATTAGTTTAAACGGGGACCTGAGTAAACTTTACTGACAGGACCAATTAGATGACTACACTGGTTAACTCGACTGTGAGATTAATTAATCAATTACCTCGTTATTAGATCGTGGGTCACGTTTGACGTCAAACAGATCTCTCTCTCTCTCTTTCTCTATCTAATGGTAAAGTCACTTTCCATGAGTACTTTGACAAGAGCTTGAGAGAGGAGAGAGAGAGAGAAAAAAAAAATTTATTGATTGAGCTATATAAAATGACAAACAATTATC